AACGTGCAGTTGAAGCCCTATTTTCCACTAGGAACCCAAGGGAACAATAATAATAAATAATAATACAGCGCATATAAACGTTCCATAGTTGATATCAAGTTTATCAGCAAATACCTGAGTTTATTTCCTGTATGGTTGACAAGTAAATCATAACCTTAATATTTTTCTATTTGACTTTATCCAGGTCAATTATTAACAAAATAATTTACACGATTTCTCATATTTTCATGTATCATATTTCTCTTGATTTTGTTTTAGCATATAGATAGAAAGTTCCAGTTAATTTTAAAAAAGTGAAGAATTAACAATTGGTGGTCATAGAATGATAATTTTGTATGTAATTCGAGTAGACTATTCAATTAATTCATGTATTTTATTAATCTTTCTACTTATTTTGATGTTGGATTATGTTTCAATGCAGATTAAACTCACCCTTTGACAGTACAGGGAGAACAAACTTATTTGATGGAGGTATATACAGAATTTTGTTTGCTGTAGGCATTGACCTAAGCTTTTTTACCCTATACTAGTGTTCAGTATGCAACCGGCAATCGAATAAGATGAATAGCTCCTATGAAAACGTTAACATGCCAACCGGTAATGAGGTGTACATCAAAGTAAAGACAATGGTTAACGTAAGCTAATATCGAATACTACATATAGTTTAATTTCTTCAGCCTTTGTTACATCATTCAAATGAACTGTCGTCAAGATTTGACAGAATAGTTCAAAAAAATTTTGGGCGCCGAGTGAGAAGTAGACATTTGTAAAATCTCAGCGAGATTGAAATGAGTAATTCCAACGTTTCGTTCGGCAATCTGGTCCGAACTTCTTCAGGGAAATTAATCGAAATTAACCTAACAGAGGTTTTTATATAAAAGGAACATCTCTTGTTTTTAAAAACTTTGTCCAATCATGAGTCCTGAAACAGGTATCAACATGTATAATAAACAAAATTGTATGAGCTGTGATCAAAATTTGACCTCGGACTTACAAATATTGGTTAATTATGTCTACCTTTGTTAAACACTTTAAACAGTGTGTATGTGTGTGTGGGTAAACAGTTGTAAAACATTTCTTAACGTTTCCATAAGAAGAAATAGACAGTCGGGAATTTTGACCAAGTATTATTAATTAGTGATACATATCCATTTTCGTTTATTAATCAGGATTCGCTATGCATCAGCTAACATCACACCTTCATGTCTGTTCAAACTGTTAGTATCTAGAATTTTATGATTAGACGTATTTTCAAAATTATGGTGTTTAGGATTAGAGTTTAGTAGAAGCACTTAGTCGAACTTATTGCTTTGTCCTTTTTCTGAAGATTGAGCTGCTTTATTCGACCTACTGGAGTTGTCAGGTGACTCGACAGCTACGGACTTAGGATATGCATTCTGTTGCAGACAACGGAGAGTGAAAACACGATGATTGTTCCAATTACATAGTTTCTTTGTTAATTTAATTCGATTGCAAAATAATTCAAATGAACTGTCGTCAAGATTTGACATCATGTACATAGAAATTACTACAGAATTCAGAAATAACACATATAAAGAGTTAATTTCTCAGTCCTAATGGTGTTAATCTAATGTTTTCTCTAGTTAGTTTCCAATTCTTGTTCTTCGACACGCGTACATACAGCGTAATGTCATATAGGCAAATGTGTATACGTAACGCTCTGAATTTTAATCAACCAAAATAATTTTTATCAATAAAAGTAAATAAGTCGTTTCTCAACAATCACTTGCGATTCCTCTGCCTCTCTCTGCTGGGTAAGCCTTATTCATTGCATTCAGGAGGCGGGAGTATCTCTCACAAAACCGAAAGGGTGAATGCGAACATCTGGCGCTTACAACCGGCCTGATGGACATCCAGTTGGAAAACCCTTATTCCAAATCTAAGGTCTTATATAGGCTCCAGAATCCGAAAGGATTGAATGGCGTATGAACTTGTCTTGCCTACCGGTAACCATGGGAACGTAGCTCCTATCGCTGTTCTACTGCTCTACCGCTCGAGAGGAGGAGGTCCCTTGAGACAACTACCTACTCCGGTATGGGCAGTATCCAACCCGTAGCACAAACTATAAGATTTTGTGGGGTGCATCTCTTGGTGCCCATAATATACCAAGTTTATGTTTTAATAGATAAATAATAACTTGGGTCATTGGGTTACGTTGCTGACTTCCAACTAATGGGTTACGGATTCGAATCTCGCTCCACCTACCAAGGTTTGGACAGCCAGGTAGTATCAACAGCTGTCACACATGAGGTGTGCCTAATTACCAACTGTATGGATAATTTTCATGATAATACATTAAGTGAAATGTGACTTTTAGGCAAGTTAGTGTTTCAACGTGTACTAATTCCCCAAGAGGTAGTTTTAAGTCCGACCTCAGAGTGATATCAGCTAGAGAACCATTGGATATCAGGGAGTATAGGCCAGCTTCTTCGTCGTTCTTTGGGACTGTTCGGCAGTACACACTCAGTAGAAATCGAACCCAGGACCTTCCGGCTACACGTCAAGCTCGTAGACCATTTAGTCGCTGGGACTCGACTCAATGGCCAGCCCACCAATTCCAATATCTACCAATCCGTAATTTTAGCGCTACCACCAGTCATTGCCGACGGCGAGTATTTGTTCTCACTCCCGACTGCATGGACTCTACTGGTCACAACTTCTCACTAGAACTCCAGGCAACTTCTTCCTGTAACCAGTCACTAGCGAGCATCAGATTAATTTTCAATCAATCCAGGATCAAACTTGATGCGCTAATTCCATCTAATAAGTGACTTATGAAATAATCGTGATAAAAATCACTTCATTAACATTTTTACACCTATAAAATCTTTATGAGACGTAGTATATCTATAAATTTTTTTCTAATTGAACTGTCAACTTAATATATAATCGAAATTTTCAAAATAATTTCATTCGGAAGGCATGTAAAGCTTCATTTAAGTAAGAGAGACATCCGACGACTATATCAGATCGCCATCCGGGAAGATGAAACCAATAGAAGATAGTGAAAGAAACATAATTACCAAACAGGCGAAACGATGAGGTGATAAAATTATCGAATGTCATAGTTTTATTGAAAGCAGCAAAAGGACCAGATGGAATCCCTCCAGAAGTACTAAAAACAGACCAGAGACCTCAACAGATATCCTCGCATCCCTATTGCACAAGGTTTCCAAGGAAAGACAGGCGTCTGTCGTTTGGAAATTACACTGAATTAAAATATTACCACCACTCTAAGATATTATTTCGACTTAGCACATATACCAATATGATTGAATGCCAGCCATCTGGAAGCACCAGTGAAGAGTGTAAACATATTTTCAAAACTTGAAAATTCTGTGGATTTTCGAACGACTCAATACTGGTTTCTTTTTTAATTTGAAAAAAAAAGATAATTAATGTTAAAATAAGCCTATTTTTCGTGAGGCAATTGTGAGACGACAAGGTTAATTTCCTTTCTTTTGTAACTAATATCATAACCTACAATTCATTTATCATAATTTCCTTATTTTCTTCCTAACTTCAAGACAGAAGGATTAAGTTTAATTTTCAACTTATAATCAGATATATTTTTGAAAGAAAGAAAGTTTTATTTGACCTTAACTACTTTTATTAATTGGAAGATAAAATAAGGAAAATTATATGAGGAAAATTCAAAAGAAACATCATAAGCAGAGATGTACGGAAGAGAGAATAGCAGTAGCCATTAATGTAAGTGTAGGACTTCGACACTGTGGTAGAATGTAATTCCATATTAGATAAGTTTATTTGATATAACATACAGCGATACAGTATTACTTATTGGATGACGTTTATATTAACATTTATTTCTTATAATCATATTAGCCATTGGTTTTTAGTGTCTCAAAGAACCCAACTAGGCAGTCTGGATCTCCCTATACATGGCTCAAGCCATGTCTTCGTGGATTGATGCTATACTTTGTCATAACCATCCCTAAATCTTTTCCAACCTAAACTTGTATCAAGTATTGGTGGGTGGGTGCGTGCGTACTGATGAGGAGTCCCAAACTATGACGGAACAGCCGTCTAGTATTCCCAGGTTTTCCAATGGTTTTCTAACCAATGTCAGCTCATGATGAAATCCTGTAACCAATCAACCAAATCCCTACAAACCAATACTTGAATATCAATGAGATACTCACTGGCGACTGGCCCTATTCAGGTAGGTAGTTACCTGGGGTTCTAGTGGGAAGCCGTGACCAGTAGGGTGCAGCAGGTCGGGTGTGAGGACAAATACTCGCCGAAGACATTGGCTAGCGGTTGCGCTATGTCGTGAATTGGCAGAAGTTAGAATTCATGGGCTGGCCATTGGATCGGATCCCAGTGGCTTAATGTTCTACGAACTAGCTCGCCTTGTAACCAGAAGGTCCTGGGTTCGAACCCTGGCTGTGGGTGCGTACTGATGAAGAGTCCCAAACTAGGACGAAACAGCTGTCCAGTACTCCTGCTGGTTTTCCAATGGTTCTCTAACTGATGTCAGCTCATGATGAAATCCTGTAACTAATCTTGTATCAGTCAACTTTATTATATAAGCTAAGCCGTTGATTGTTACAATATAACTTTACGCACTGAATTTCAGTAAATCAGCTTACTGGAATGGAAATGCAGATATCCGATTTTCAAACAATGAATCGTAATCATACACTAAACTCTATCTACTCATATATGAATAGTTAGAAAATGTCCTTAGCTGTTGTACAACAGTTATAGCTCATTATCTACTGCAAAGGAAGCACATAGTTGTTTAAGTTCTACTGTGATTCCCTGAAACCCATTTCTGTTTTCAACAATCGGATGTTCACGTTTGCCTGAAGAATACCTCAGTGGTAATGTCTCTGACTGAAGGTTCGAACCCTGGAGTAGGTATCACTTCCTACAAGGCGGCTCCATATATGCTTTGCTAACGAATACCAGCAAATGAAACCATTTATAGACGTATTATTTTATCATATCAGAAGCTTACAAGAAAGTTAATTTACATTTGATTTCTATTCAGAAAAATTTCTTTCTATAACAAATGCAAAATTTATGAAATTAAAATAAGGATAAAATTGGAAAATAATTGATAAAAGAAATTAAAGATAAAAACGAATAAATGAATAATAAATAAACAAGATGAGAAAAACTGAATTTGTTTTTAAGCCTGTTCAATATTCAATATGAGATATTGAAAGAAGAAAAATATTGAACGTTACATTTCGCTTTCTCCTAAACAAATTATCAACACCTGTAGTATTGTATTGATTACAAACAACTATTTTATTCAACACTGTAGAAATTATAACTGACTGCAACAGTATTACACCGGTGTTGATGAGCAAAAAGAAAATGAATCATGAAAAAGAAAAAAAAGTCAATAAAATGAAGGTATGTAATTCATAAACAGTGCAGGAAGAAGAGATATATGTATATATGTACAAACACAGATCATAAGTGTGCTGATGAGTTTATCTGATCATTGAATAATGCCTGGAAATCCCCTTCATAAAGATCACAAGCAGAATTGTCTTCATTATCTTTAGCGTGAATATCTGCACCATACTTTAACAAGACTTTGATAACTTCATCATGACCACAGGAACAAGCTGTAGGTAAGAATATATAAATAATACAATATAGATTAAACTTTGTTCACTCTCCTTTCTTACTTTAGCAACAGAAATTTGCTTTAATTAACAAATACATTATAGGATGAAATAAAAGTACTACTTTTTTATTGTGAATCCGTAAATATATAATGAATTCATCTAGGCAATTATTGGAAACATTTATTTCCCGATACAAAGGTTTTACAGAAAGGCGATTTAATGATATTAGATGGTTGGAGGCAATCGGCCACAGGAAGCCTTGCTCGACCTAGGTTTCGTGCTAGTTGGCACCCACCACCAGTCAATCAGCAAGGCGTATCTGCAACCTTGAAGGAACTCATGTCCCACCCCTCTGAGATTCGAACCCGCGTCACTCAGTGAGAACTGCAGTCAGAGACGTTACCACTGAGTTATTCGGGCTCGTGATTAACCTCCTGTAGGACTGTAGTGGGTATTTTCATTGGACACTAGACTAGTAACTAGTGTCCAGTGAAAATATACAATTTTTTTGTTTACCAATCAGCTTTGGGACTAGTTTTGTTTTCCAGTGCACTCTATTTCTTCATCTTCATTTATATTTTACGGATAGCTGCTGTTTATTTTTTTATCACATATCTGGAAACAGGTGTGGAATCACTCTTCTTCTTTTATAAATGTGTTTCACATTAATTTGAAGAATACTACATTAGTTATTCACCTGTCGTCTGTCAATTAAGCTCTTCGTATTATTACTTTTTCTTATTATATTATTTGACTGGAGGATTGTCTAGTTTATTCCATGAGGGACAACCAGTAAGTCATCCACCACTGAAACTCGCAGGCTTATTCATATCCAGCCATAAACCATCGAAGATGACTAGACTTGTACCACCAATCCTCAGTGACTGGGTGACTGATATCTGGGGAGACAGTCTCTCCTGGCCACATAGTACCCAGAATCGGAGTACCAGTCTCATGCCTTCGTGTTGACATCCGGATCTACAATTGACACAGCTCTCTCTCTCTCTCATTTTATACTTGTCTTGTAGGATATCCTTTACAAAGTCACTCATCCCACCGAACCTTTTACTGTCCTACTGACTAAATCTTGTATGCATCCATGTAGTCAATGTCAAACCACTGGGCGTCTACGAGGATCCCAGCATCTAAATTCCGTTTCAGTAATGCCTTCACTTCATCTAAATTCTTTATAATGTATCTACAAAGATGAAACCCTAGTGACCGATATGGTAGTATCGGTGCATGTACGATAAGAGCATCATATTGATACAATACATCCAGTGGTTTTGGTCCAGTGTAGATGAAGAAATCTAACATGTCACAGATCATTTGATGTGTGATAGTTGGATTATATACTTTCTCTGTATATGTTCTGCTTAAAACTTGGGATACCAAAAACCTCCATCAACATATTGCAACTTATTTCCCGCATTCACTATGTTTTAATCTATAAAAATATACCATCTAATGGCATTATTTACTTTCGCGAGTATTTAAAGTGTCTACAGTCTGCTGATTCACAAGTTTCTACTAAACTTGAGAAAAGTCATAATCGTAGATGACAACGTATCCCAATACAAGAGATAACTGCCACTCCCTCTAGGAAATGACACTAACTACACGTAGTCTTTCATTATTAAGTTGTGTCTTTGGGTCGCAAGATGTACTTGTACACTTTTTTTAACTGGCTTCTAACCTAATCCTCGAAGGAGACAAAGAATAATTATTCATAAGAGATTGGTTTGCCATTTCAGGTTACACAGCAGTGAGTCCCAGAATCTACTATCGGTTACTAATATACTTGAAGATGCTGGACGGGGAGGAAATATTGTTCAATAAACTTCTGCTGAGAATTCTTTATATTTAATAAACACAATCTAGAATAAGGCTGTTATTTTCTTATTATTGACATTGTGAGGAATACAAATGATGAATTAAAGTCATAAATGATGCACCTCAGAGGTGTACAGTCACCTTGAAACATAATCTGACAATTATTACTGTTTCACTGTATGGTGATAAATCAAACAGAATGGAATCAAACACCTTTTGTAAATAAGTGATAGTCTTTTGAAATAAAGGAGAAGATTTGTAGCTCAGGTGGATGATATTGAATCAGTTGTGTTCTTTGAGCTGGTTGATTTAATTGAAAAGCTTTCGTCGTCCTTCTAGACAACATCTTCAGTGCAGGTTTTAGTATAAAATAATAAACGTAAATAATGAGCTGAAATTAATTAGAGAACCATTGGAAAATCTGCAGGGAGTACTGGACAACTGTTTCGTCTTAGCCCTTTGGGACTCTTCATCGGTACGCATCCACCGCCAGGGTCCGAACCCAGGACCTTCTGGTTACAAGGCTAGCGAGCTTGTAGACCATTAAGCCACTGGGACCCGATCCAATGGCCAGCCCATGAATTCTAACTTCTGCTAATTCTATGATATAGCGCAACCACTTCGCAATGTCTTCTTCGATGAGTTACTGCCTCACCTTCAACCTGCCGTACCCTATCGGTAGCGGCTACCCACTAGAACCCCAGGTAACCATCTACCTGAATAGGGTCAGTCGCTAGTAAGCACCAGATCAATTTTCAACTGATGTCAGCTCATGATGAAATCCTCCAACCGATCAAACAAAAATCTCTACAAAACCAATAATTGAAAATATAAATAATTTAAATACGTTCATTTTATACTATAACCTGCACTGAAGATGTTGTCTAGAAGAACGACGAAAGTTTCACAATTGAATCAACCAGCTCAGAGAATACAACTAATTCAATAAGTGATAGTCTTACATTAACAATAAACAAAATTTGTACAATGATATACCAAAAGTGAAAATTAATATACTAAATGAACATATGGGGTTCTACAAACTATCACTGCTGAAATTTAAAGTTCTGTTGATATTGGCTTCACTAAATAAATAAAAAAGATTTTCATTGATCCACAAAAACAAAAATGAAATGAAAAAAGTAAATAAAGGAAAAAGGTGACATCTATCTTACCATAGTGAAGAGGTGTTTGACCTTCTGTATCTTTGGCATTTACCATAGCATTATGCTTAATTAATATAGAAACTAGATCACAGTATCCTCGATCAGATGCCCAATGAAGAGGTGTCATACCCTATGACATTCATTTTGTTTTCAACATCAGAAAGAAAATTTTTTTAAAAAAAAGAAAAATTGTAAGCAATTAGCCATCTACAATACATATTCTATTAAAAGACAAATAAAACGGCAATACTGAAGTTCTAAATAACTACAACACCTTGGATTGAAGCAGCTGAATACACAATGATTATTTAGAGAAGCTGCATTACAGCTAACAGGTTAATTGCTGATGAAAAGCATTACAAGGATAATACTTACTACCGTTTATCACTGAGGTAAACATTTACGCTATACAGTATGGCTTTTATTCTGAAATAAATACCTGAACAAATAACAGAATTTACACATTTCAACATTTGAGAATCCCGGATCAATGATGATGTAGCTACGCTTTTGAGAAATGCAAACATGAACACAAGTGTAGTTGCTTACTAGACCCCAATCTTTGAGTTATTGTGGTGACTATTTAGGGCAACTGTGGTCTGTACTACTACTTATAAGAAGATTTGAGTAGTAAATTGTATAACGCTTTGTGATTTTCACCAGTTCATTCATATCCAAAGGTTAGGCTACATCCACTAGCTGCAGCTGATGAGCGATAGCGTTAGAAACGCACTCCATTAAATTCGAAAGCTTACAGCTTGGTAATTCACGTAACAGAAGATTTGTCAGCGTTACTGCCAAAACCAATGGATCATCAATGAAGGCTAAGTCGTAGGCTCCTAAATTTCTGCAACACCATCTACATGTCTGCCCGGCTGTCGAAATTTGAAACCAACGACTTGAGGACCTTCTCTTGCGACGTTTCTGCTCCATATCTACACTGGCTTGTCCGATCTATCAACAGAATCCCCACGATACCTAACTTTACCTTCTGCTTCTGCACACCGATCAGATACTCATGTCGCCCTTTTCAAAAACTCGTGACCTCAGCGCCTAATTCTGTTACAAAGGCAGTGACACCATTTGAGGTGAACAAGACAATTCAGACCAGAAGTAATGTTGATTGTAAAAAAAATACAATGCAAATTAAGAAAATCATACTCCTAACAATACCCAATATTGTGGAAACCTTTCTTCGCCTTACTCTCATTGTGAAGTATGTGGTATATGCAGTTTGCTGAAGCCCTTTTCCACCAAGCGCCTGAAACCTGATTTATGCGTCCAGAAAGAAGCGGTTATCAGTCTTTCTTTGCCCTGGTAACTGGATATTTTTCATCTCTCTTTCATCTGAATGCGAAATGCTGAAAAGTTTCCATTGTGTATGATTATTATTGTTCGAAGCAGTGTTTAATATTGCATATATATATATATATATAATTAGTGTATGCGTATATTGATCGATTAATTTTTGTTTAAAATGAACTCTGTGCAAGTATGTTAAAATTGTTTTTGTAGATATATTTAATAATGTCTTTACCCTGTAAGTAGCTGACGAGAAGGCAACGAAATAAAAGATGGCATCACTTTATTCTGCTAAAACTGTAGTTCTTGCTTTGTTCAAATTCATTAAGGGGAATAAATGTATGAAATTCCTTTGGGAAACCGAAACTGTTCAGACCAAAATATGCTGTCTACCTGATACCGTGAATAGCGATCAAGACAGCAAGCATAAATGTATTACGCTAATATACTGCCACTGATTAATTGACATGAGTGATCGGACACACTACTAATGTCCAACCAGCATAGTTTGCTAGCCAGTCAGATCAAAATAATCTAAACATCGGATGGCCGTTTCACTTATTCGAGGCTGTGTTCATCATCACTGGTGCACTAGGTTTGACTTAGCTCAGAGAACCGAATCAGTTCAAACCACCCAATTTCTAGGTAGCCAGTTGAATGAACTGGTAATAACTTAAATCAGATCCGCAATTTGCAGTTTACACAATTCGAGGTGTTTGACTGAGTGATTCACGACATAGAACTTTGCACAGAAGTGCATCAGTTCAATTTGCTACACTCGAGGAGACCAACCAATTTAGTCTACACCTCCCTATGTGACTGGACCAAATTTACTGTTAAAGACTTCGTAGACTGCTTCCAGGTTTTTGGTTTGACCACCAGTCACACCACTTTTTCCCAACGTAATCCACCGTTGGTTAACATTTCTCATCGAAGAAGTCGGTGGTTCTCGTGATGTGCACATGTGTCAAATCGATGTAGTTTCACAACTTTATCTAACACTACGCCTAACTTCAGAATGGATATCCATCCACAGATTCATTCAGTGCAGGTCACAGATATTTATAATTGTTTCCAACTGGCGAATGATGGTCCATTTGCATTATCATTAGTAGTCATACACAATATGCAAATGAATAATACTCACCATATTATACCACTTAAAGCAAGACAAGCTTTCACTACTCTCAAGTCTGTGTGGCGGTCAACAGCATTCATTGTCAAAAATAAGATCCGGTTTTTAAACTCCAATGTGAAGTCAGTGCTACTTACTATACAGATCAGAGACTTGGCGCGACACAAAGAGCATCTCAAACAAACTACAGACCTTCATTAACAGTTGTCTTCGCTCAATACTACTCAAGATCAGACGGCTGGCCAGAAAAGATCAGCAACAGAGATCTCTGGGAGCGAACCAACCAGGAACCGATTGTGAAACAAATATGCAGGAATAAATGGAGATGGATTGGCCATACTCTGAGGAAACCATCAAGTGACATCACTAGACAAGCCATTGCTCGAGTGGAACCCGAAAGGGAAGCGGCGAGTTGGTTGTCAGTGCAAGAGTGACTTGGAGGAGGTCATGTGTAGAGGAGATGAAAACGTGTGGGCAGACTTGGAGCCAGGTGAAGACTCTAGCAGAGAACCGAACGCAATGGAGACGTGTGGCTGAAGCCCTATGTTCCTCTAGGAATTAAAGGAAACAATAATAATATTATTATTATACCACTTAACACGGAAGATAGAACGTAAACATATATGGTCAAAAAGCGATTTCATTTAGAATAGATGTATAATAGAAAAATTTTGATGCATGGAATGTCAACTTACATTTTTATCTGTTGCATGAACTTCATCAGATTTAGACGACAGTAAACTATTTACACCTTCAATATCATTTTCTTTAATAAGATTGAAAATTGACTCATCACTATTAGATGTCATCGGTGGATCATTTGAATTTGGATCTAAATTAATCATTCGACTGACATATACAGATCTTTGTTTTGTATCCTACAATTAGAAAAAGAAATTAATAATAATAATAATTTAATTAACAGAATATAATACTTGATGATATTAGATGGTTGGAGGCAATCGGCAGGAAGCCTTGGACCTAGGTTTCGTGCTAGTTGGCACTCACCAGTCAATCAGCAAGGCGTATCTGCAACCTTGAAGGAACTCATGTCCTTCTGACTGATAGAATTCAGTCTGCACCGAAGAAAGGACTAGACACGTCACACTAGTTACTAGTGTCAAATCAGAATATAATACTCTTAAGTAATGATAACGATAATAATAATAATAATAGATGAGATTACCTAAATTGGTAAGACAATTATTGTTGAATACTGACTACTTATATGGAGTTGTGCTGATTCATGGAGATGACTGGTGACTGAATTTGAAGTGAGGAATTGAAATCACTTAAAATGACCACAGAAAAACAAGAAGCATTAAACAGTTGTTTTTATCTAGTGTTTGAAAGTCTTCAGGAGTGGACACTTACGGTTGCACAAGCAACACAAATTAGAGTAACTACGCTTACAGGAAGAGGTGACGCTAAAGCATACCCCCCCCCCCCAAATTCACCAGTTTCAATGAACAAGTCTTGTTAGTCTGTAGCAGTATAAGTGGTGTGACAGACATATCTAGACAGTAGGCTTCATGGTTTAACACATAAAATTGTATCTTAATTGTTACATGCTATTATGTGTGGATTAGTGCACCAGAAATGCCTTGTTTCTACTTTTATCCTAGTGGACCTCATTCAAACTGATGTATTTCGGGGGTATGTGCCTTGTCATCGCTCTACAAGAGGACAGATATTCATTCCATTGCTAGGGGGGAATCAAATAACCTCCAAATGAGTCACTGTTCATTTCACATTCAGCCTGGTGAACATTAAGCACCTATGGAATTAAAAACTTCAAAATAATGAATAATCTGAGTTTCTAGATAATTTAGATACAGGCAATCAACATGACTCTAACGACTTAAGACTGAACTAAAAGGTCATCAATTGAAAGTTTTTTTCAGAAAATATTTGATTTATTTTGTAACAATTATTGGTATCAGATGTTATCTGAATTAAAGGGTCAACATATCGAAAGGTTTTTATATGTTAACTAAGAAGACAGCTGAAAAGCAATTGTTTACAGAGTAGAATAGGTAGAACGTTGTAAGAGTATTGATTGTAGAAGAAAGGATAATCTGGATGACGTCAGTATTTTAACCAGTGGCTTCTGAATTACTAATCCGTCGCACTCCCATTTAACGTAAGAGACTCATCGTTCACAAGATCAATAATAACAGTCTGCAAACACAAGAATATCTTCGACAGTCTCCCCATCAAGAATGATTGTGTGAAGCATTAAAAAAATAATAATAATAAACGAAGAGGCTTTTAGTAACCTACCGAACTGCACAACGTTTAGCAACTATTTTAATACCATTATTATTGTTCGAAGATTATATCATATTCAGACTATCTTATACGTTAATGAGAACATTAGCTAACTAGTATGATAGTTCCTCTAATTTATAAACTGAGATGTAAGTTCATAAACTGCTGAAGAGATAAAATCAGCCCATCTACAGAATTACAATCATAAAAGAAAAGCAAAGAAAGATCAATAAAGAAAATAAGTCCACAGGATACTACATTCTGGGTTTTATTCTATGGATATGTTGTCCCGCAACATCTGAATTAACAATTTTCTTTTATTACTACCCTAAGTGACGCCGTCACAATGTCATCCTGGCCGTTAAAGGTTGGGCATGCCATGCTTCAGCGCGCACAGTATTGCTACACGCCTGCGAAACCTGGCCTCTCCGAGCTGATGATGTTCGACAACTCTGCGCTACCTAAGTAAAATTGCCTGTGTCCAAGGGCACCACCTAGTAATCAGTTCTGTAATCGGGCAGTGTGTGTTTAGACACGGTAGAATTCATCAATCATTGAGTGTGGTCGACTTGAAAAAATCGGCTCTACTGGCCTGGATATGTGCTACGAATGTCACCACAGAGGTTTTCATACCGTTCACTCTTTATTATCCCTGGAAGTGGATGGAAAAAGCACACAGATGGCCAGTCTATGATGTGGCACCATTGGAATAGGGATATTTCTACTAAGTTAGGACCTGCTGGTGCATCCCAACGCATCTCTAATTGCGGTTAGAGAGATAATTCAGACGTTATCAGACACAGCGGAGAGTCGTAATCAATAGCGAACATGCTGCTATTTCCTTTATTCTTCCCTTTCTGAAGGTAACATAAACTTACAAATGATGAATGATCTTGACAAGTATGCTTTCTTGCTTGCTTTCTAGATGGTATCCCTCATTTATTCTGTTCTTATTTTCCTTACATATTGTTGTTTTATTATTTTCATGTGGCACATATTTTAGTGTTCAATAATAATAGTAATAACGATGTAAAGGGTATCCTTAATATACGAATATAATTCGGGAACTGTGAGTGTAATTCCATCATAGAATGACTTAGAGAAAAACTCACCAATCGCAGTGCATGCATTAACACATCATCACACAATAAAGTGATACACAGTTCTAAAAGGTTATGTAGGTAGATAGGGAGAGAGAGAAAGAGGTTGGTCAGTGAATTTTTGATCATAGAATCTACACCTAACACATGCTCTAAGAATGAAGCAATACCAATACCACAGATATGGAAAATGTGAGTAAAATCAAAAAAGAAGAAATACTGGAACTATATAAACAAAGTTTGAAAGTTATTTAAGTAGCTTGATATGATGATTATGAGCAATAAGTTATACTCAAAACGTCATCAGCAAATAAATAATAATATTTTCAAAAATTGGTTTGTAGGGATTGATATCAGTTAGAGAACCATTGAAAATCAGGGAGTACTGGGCCATTGAATTGGGTCCCAGTGGTTGAATGGTATACGAGCTTGCTTTGTAACAGGAAAGTGTTGGGTTCGAAACCCAGTGCGTGTGTACTGCCCATGAGTCCCAAAACAAGACGAAACAACCGTCCAGTACTTCCTAGTTTTCAATGGTTCTCTAACAGATATCAATCCGTGGCCTAAACTAAAATAATACTATATCACTGTGTGTTACCTATCAAATAAAATTATTCTATGATAGAATTAAAGGGAATTCTAACGACCATCTCTTCAAGGTGGAATCTTATTGTGAGGTAAAATCACTCATAACACAAAAAATCAAACGATCAGAATACTGAGCTGATCAATACTTCAATCTACTTACCCTACAGTTTTCATACAAACATTCGATCCAGGTGAGCACCCTTTTTAAGTCCATAATATAAATAACGGCAACTACTGTCAATTCCTATTCTTTCACAATCAATACATGAAGCGTTGACACTACTGCTGGTAGAAGAGACAGAATATCGATGGTGGTAAAAGTAAAATTCTATTTAAATATGTCCTTCAAGTTGCCTTCCTAGCTAGCTAATCAATAAATAACTCAGATGAGCAATAATGATCAGGTGTGATAGTGGTATTAGAACATAGTGAATAACATAACATAGAAAAATATGTCATATGCTTTAACATAATAGCACAAAAGATGAAATCAGTCTGCAAAGTATGATTAAAAATTATATATATATATATATATATATATATATATATATATATATATATAGGGAGAGAGAGAGAGAGGATATATGATAAATTTAATGAATGACGTAACGAATAAAAGATGGTAGAAAATCTTATACTTTAACATTTTTAGAAGTTATTTTGTAGAGATCTGATTTGTTTCAAGTTTGCCCATGGATCGATATCAGTTAGAGAACTACTGAAAACCAACAGGGAGTGCTGGACAACTGTCTCGTTCTGGTTCGGGACTCATTAGTACTATGCACCCACTGGGTGTCGAATCCAGCATCTTCCGGATACAAGGCAAGTTCACCTTGATAAAGGTGCAACGTTTTTTTGAGCCTCCTTTTTTGATTATAGCTTGACTTCACACAGTATTTTTGATACAAGTATGAAATTCTCAACATATGATATCGGTAGCCAATTTAGCAGGCCGACCATTGATATCATGTGTGCGTCAGCCGGGGATCAAACCTCAGACCATGTGCATGGTCGGGGTCGGTGAGCGTCCTAACCACTGTGCCACCGACTTACAAATCGCCAGATAGGTCATCCTGGTCCAACTCGGGGCACTACACTGCTGCTTTTGATTCTATTCCCAGGGAAACTTTTACTAAGCAAGCTGATTTCAGCACACACTGAGTCCTAGATCACGAGGTGGTCGTCTTCCTTCGAACTAATTATAACTATATTTCAATGATTTACACACGATGACAACTTCTTTTGTTTTGGTAATATTTTGAGCAAAACTACTGACCTATGATCACATCAATTGTTGGAACTGTTTGTCTTCCTATTTTTCAGACAGGGAACAAAATACCCTTTTTATATTAGAAGCACCCCATTCTTTTTCCTATGGAAGTTAGTGTGCCTCAATGTGCTGTACTTTCTCCATTTCACTTTTCTTTTCTTTGTATAATCTACCGTATTCTTCTATAGCTAATTTCATTAAATAAGCTGATGATCTGACAATTCCTATCCCAGAGATTTCTTCATTGGATTGTTCTGATATGCATAGTTTTTTTAGCTGAAGTTAACCAATGTTCTTAAACTAAATCTCTTTAAATGTCAGACTGTTAATTTTAATTTCAAGTGTGAACAAGACTTGCGCGGACTAATTCTATCCCATGATTCTTGTTATATCAGCAGCACTGAGATAGGAAATAGATCGAATATTATGTACGCTGACACCAGTTTCTCTTCAAATCTTCGTTGACAGTCTCATACCTTGTTGATTTCTAAGAAAAGATTTCGTTTGTCGGCCAAGTTTAACTTGAAGCACCACTAACTATCAATGGAGTGTGACCGCAGCAATGACCCTGAAGCGCTCATAGAGCGAGTTAGTGAAACCTGGTTATTAAATGTGATATCTGGCAAGTTTCAGATTAGGTTTGGGAAAGATTAAGTTACGGTTTGGGTCAAGGACAAGTTAAGGTTAGGTTAGCCTATTAAAGGCAACAATAGGGTTAGTTCAAGTTAGTTTAGGCATATTTTCACGTTAGGGCTAGGTTTAGGAAAGATTAGGATTGTTGTAAGGGTTAGAAGACCTAAGCAATTACACTCTACAACAGTGCCCAAGTTTTATACTCATATCAATGTATAGAATGTGGTTAAATTACTCTGTTGATATAGGAATAGAACTTATGCACTGTGGTAGAGTAGAATTCCATTGTGGGTAAAATTTATTTTGATAAAGTTTCACAGTGTTATGCAGTAGTATTTACTGATGACGTTTCGAGCACAGTTTATTGTCCGGTAAATGTTACTGCATATACTCTGTTGGTACTCCAACCTAAAACTGAGAGCTATTTTCATCAAATGTGAGAGAAAGGTTTCCTCTGTAACACATTTATACAGTTTTTATGCATTTTTTTCATAAATATATGTATTCCATACACAAAAATGCCTCCTTCATGTGATTGGTGCGTTTGAGGTCATTCGCTGATTGGTAGTTAACGGTGCTTAAAGTTTAACTTTGCCCGTTTGACTTATTGCGTAAAGAAGTTTAAACTCTCTGGAGCAACTGAACCTCTTCTCTTGCAGTTTATGCATTCATGCATTTCAACTATCCTTCTTTGGGCTTCTCAAAGAGGACTTTGGAGAGATCTAAGCAGGATTAGTGGTGTGTGTGTGCCTTTGATCAAATTAACTGACATTATTGTTGATAGGCGCTTTAATTCTGACAAGCAGTTAGCTAAAGTCACCTTGTTAGACATTGAACCTCCTTTTTGTTCGCAACTTTCTCTTTGTACCTCTTCCAGTGGGAGCAGAAGAAATTTCATAAGAATTATGCTCGTACGAATATTAAATATACTAATTGAACTGTACCATATTTACCATGAGTTTTATATGTGAAGAGACCAATGTCAGAAAAGAGCTTACAAATCTGTAAATAAACAGTAACTTAATATATGTGTAGGACTTGGGCGCTGTGGTAGTAAGTAATTCTATTTGGTTTATTTATTGGATGTATCACACAGTGAAACAGTATTATTATTTACTGCATGACGTTTCGAACAAAATTTATTGTTCACAATTATATCAATTATAATCACACGACTTCGAACCTGCGTAAGGTTTCCGAGGTTCCTCCCTTGTATGGAATTACTACAGATGATTTAGATTTCTTATGGTTGGTGTTGTCATTATCTTGTGCGTGTTTGACATGCAAGTCGTCATTATTATTATTATTATTATTATCACTATCACTACTACCATTGTTTATTTTTTATTTTATTTTTTTTTAACAAGGCAGAAATAAAAGCGACTGGCATTCAAACCCACAAATTCAATTAGAAACAAGCTTTGTCAGTTAAAGGATCCTGTAGAACCTTTCAAACAAAACAATTTAGTTTATCTAATACCCTGTTGGAATGATTGTCAGGTCAAATACATAAGTCAAAGTAGTAGAACAGGGGCAGTCAGATTAGCCGAGTATAAAAACCTACCAAAATCTAGATTAGTTGACCGAATAAGATAAGAAATCTAGAGAATAGTTCAGCTATAGCACTCACTACATGCAATTACACACAACTATACAATAGGATGGGATAAGATGACAGTTTTAAAACCTAATGTCACAGGGTGGAGGGACAGATTCATAACGGGAGCTTTGCTTATCCAATCAACTGAAGAGAATACGTGTAATAGGAATGATTCAGCACCTGTCCCAAATATCTGGAAAATTCTACTACCCCAACGACGACAAATAGGAGAGGACAAAGAAAACTATAAAACTCAAGTTTCGAAGTCGTGTGATTATAATTGCTGAAATGATAATGAACAATAAATTTTGTTCAAAACATCATCCAGTAAATAATAATACTGTTTCACTGTGTGATACATCTAATAAACAATCTAATATGAAACAGTAACTTATTACCAACAGCATGATTATTACATATATATCATTGTTCTGTTAACTTCTGCGTTTGCAGTCGTACTTATTTATTTGTGACAGGAGATGCATTGTCACAATATGTACACAGTGCTGAAAATTCCCATTCTGTATGAAAAGCTATTGCTTGGAATAAAGTAATTATTACTATTAGTTGTTAACAAGAAAGGATAAAAGATACTTTCTGGATCACAAGAACTTACTGATGGTTTCCAGGTAGGATCAACTTCGTGTAATTTTTCCACATATTGTTTTTGTGCTTCTTCAGTAGACATATTCCCTAGATCATGCCAAGCTGACCTGAAGTAATTGATGCATCATTATGTGAAATAATGATGGAAAATTTTTGAAAAAAAATTAGAAGTATTTTGGTTGGTGTTAGTTAACAATACACAATTTTGTAATATACTCTAATATTATCATTCATTCATAGCTAGCCTCAATATCTTCATAGCTGACATAGTGAATAAAAATAACAATCATTAAACAAAGTTAATTTTGATTGGACACTAGTAACTAGTGTGACGTGTCTAGTCCTTTCTTCGGTGCAGACTGAATTCTTTCAGTCAGGTTTGCAATGTGGCCACCATTCTGGGTAGCGCTCACCATCACGGTGCACATTGATTTGATGATATTAGATAGTTTGAGACAATCGGCACCGTGATGGCGAGCCATCCACAATGGTGGCCACATGGCAAACCTGACTGAAAGAATTCAGTCTGCACCGAAGAAAGGACTAGACACGTCACACTAGTTACTAGTGTCCAATCAAAGTACCCACTACAATCCTCCAGGAGGTCAATCGCGAGTCCGAATTGCTCTGTGGTAACGTCTCTGACTGCAGTTCTCACTGGGTGACGCGAGTTTGAATCCCATAGGGGTGGGACATGAGCTCCTTCAAGGTTGCAGATACGCCTTGGTTATTGACTGGTGAGTGCCAACTAACACGAAACCTAGGTCAAGCAAGGCTTTCTGTGGCCGATTGCCTCCAACTATCTAATATCATTAAACAAAGTTAATGTTGACAGGTGAGAGTTTGATGAAATTACTTCAAAGAGGGACGGCAAGGCATGATTCAGTTTTACTCTCAACAAATGAGACGCTTAAATGATGAAATAACCTTTAAAAAGAAGAAAAAACTACTTTTCATATCGTCATACATGTAGGCTGAATCTGTGATATTAACAAGAAACGGATAAAGTTATCGGTGGATTTGTGCACCTGGAATATAAAATGATTAAGATATTTACATTATGGAATTTGTGGGGATCTGGATTTAATTTAATTTTAATTTCAGTTGTTAGAACCAAAATCAATTAGTGAGAGAGATCATTAATGGAATCACTCACTGAATGATAAGAGAGTGACGGTTGATGTTGAAAAGGAATACCTACATTTTGACAAGTTTAATACCACAGATGTCTCCAACTTCAAATTTCCCCTCGACGAATATATATATTTATATCTAATTCACTGATAATCATTCCCTTATCATATATTAACCGGTCAATGCAAGGCAATTTTAGGCAGTCTAATAGACGGACAGTTAGTAAATGTTAACTTCAAATGAGCATAGAAGCTCCACATACAAATGAATAACTAAGAACTTTAGTTAATGGAACCCAAAACTTATAAGAGTTAGCCCTAACTCACTTCAGAGACTCAGGGATTGACTTGTTACCAATAGGGAATAATCTCGTTGACTTAGAATATGCAGATGATATAGTCATTCCACCTGGGTGAAGACGCTGGCAAAATGTAGAGTCTCTTGAAAATCTTGAGTTGCAATGTGCGAATGTTTGGCATGCGATTCGCCCCTGTCAAATGTAAAATGATGCTACAGAACTGGACTGGACTACATTGACTCCTAGTTTAGAAATAGGGAGTGAAGTGGTAGAGTGCGTTGACCGCTTCACTTATTTAGGAAGTACCGTCAGCCAGTTCCAACGGGCTGATCGCTGACGAAATCTCTGCACGGATACAGAAGGCTCGTTTCGCATATGCCAGTTTACGCCGTCTCTGGCTTGGTAGATGTGATATCCGGCTATCAACCAAAGGGTGTGTGTACTGTTAAGCAGTCCATTCCGTCGTCCCTTATGGCTGTGACACCTGGCCATTGAGAGTGGAAGACATGAAAAGGCTAGCTGTCTTTGATCATAGGTACCTGCTTTCTATCTCCCGTGTGAATTGGTAAAATACGGTGAGCAATATTGAGGTTAGATGTCAAGTGCTAGGTAAGGAGGGGAAATCAATAAACGATACTGTGAAGTTACATCAACTGAGATTGTTAGGGCATGTGTTACGCATGCTAGCCTAGCCATCGCCTTCCTCGACAGGCAATGTTAAGCTGGCTGACTTAGGGTCAGGCTGCGAAAGAGCTACTAGCGGTCTAACCAAAACATGGCACCAGTCAATGAAATCCACAACAGTTAGTTTAAGCTAGCCATGTAGGAAAGTGTACACTTCCTGGTTGGGGTCCTCAGGACAGTAAACACCAATGAAGGCTGGAGACAATTGGTGATATGGCTCAAAATCGTTCTCACTAGCTAATGCAGATGCATTCACTTCTTGTGACTTATAATACCCAGTGAAACTATATTATTTTTCGATATTACTATTCTTTTTGCCTCATATCTCTGTTTACAAACCCTATTTTGAGTTTCATTTTACTTTCTTCTCTGGCCTTGTGTGCTGAGTGAATTGTGGCGACTCAAACTGCTGCATATCGGTGCAAAGTTCTATGTTGAAACCAGTCAGTCAGTCAGCCACAAATGAGTTATCATTATTATTCCAAATCTTCAACCTATCAATGCTTTAGAATTTTCGTTTTTATCCCATTTATTTACAGTTTATATAGTGTTCAATCGTTTCATGTTCAGTGAATATAGTAGTTATAATAGTAAAACTTTTAAAAAAAATTGTAAATCAATGTGAAAGAAAAATCTCATTTCAAAGATTCACAGTGAATACTACTAGACCACTGTATACAAAAATGTGGTTCCTATTACAACTATTATCACTGATGAAATCATCTGAAACAGCCTTAGATCTGAAAACTGATATTTCTGAGAAGTTAGTGTGCACTACAAGTATGATTCTCCTGATAAATTACCTAATAATTTCTATCACTTCAAAATTAACAACATTTCTGTGTACTAACAGGCGACTTTAGGCCTTCGACAGCGTCGATCGAGAGGTGATTTGGCAACTACTTCGCTACTACGGGGTGCCGCCGACAATTATACATCTCATCCAACAGTTGTATGACAACGCTGCATGCCAAGTAATCCACAACGGGAAGCTCACGGAATCCTTCGAAGTGAAGACAGGAGTAAGACAGGGTTGCCTACTATCGCCAATGATTTTCCTGATTGCAGTAGATTGGATAATGCGACAGACAGCGGGCCGGGCAATGAGGAAACAGGCATAAAATGGACTCACACAAAGAACTTGGAGGATCTGGACTTCGCCGATGATATATGTCTGATTTCCCACAAACTGGAAGATATGCAAGTGAAAAGTAACAAGTTGGCAGAAGAAGCATCCGGAGAAGATAGGACTTCAGATGGACATAGAGAAAACAGAGGTGATGAAGATTCCTGGCCAACACCAACAGCCACAGCAACAACAACAGACAGCAATCAGCATAAATGGAAGGAACCTGAAAGAAACTACCTCCTTTACCTACTTGGGAAGCATTGTTTCAACTACAGGCGGAACTGACGAGGATATCAAAGCAAGGATCGGGAAAGCAAGACAAGCTTTCATTACTCTCAAGTCTGTGTGGAGGTCAACAGTATTCAGCATCAAAAATAAGATCTGGATTTTCAACTCCAATGTGAAGTCAGTACTACTATACGGATCAGAGACTTGGCGTGTCACAAAGAGCACCTCAAACAAGCTACAGACCTTCATTAACAGTTGTCTTCGCTCAATACTCAAGATCAGATGGCCGGCCAGAAAAGATCAGCAACAGGGATCTCTGGCAATGAGCGAACCAACACAGCAGGAACCGATTGTGAAACAAATAAGCAGAAAGGAATGGAGATGGATTGGCCATACTATGAGCAAAGAAACCATCAAGTGACATCACTAGACAAGCCATTGCTCGAGTGGAACCCGAAAGGGAAGCGACGAGTTGGTCGTCAGTGCAAGGGTGACTTGGAGGAGGTCACGTGAAGAGGAGATGAAGGCATGTGGGCAGACTTGGAGCAAGGTGAAAAGGTTGGCAGAGAACCGAACACAATGGAGACACACGGCTGAAGCCCTGTGTTCTTCTAGGAATTAAAGGAAATAATAATAATAAATAATGATAATAATAACAGGCGACTGTTTTGACTTATTACAGTCGTTACACAATATTTTAGCTAAAAGTATCAGAACTTTCTGTAAGCATATAAAATTTAATTCCCAATTAGTTTTAACACCATCTAAATCATTAGCTTGTAAAGAATGCTACATACACCTTCAGACAGAAGCGATTGAGAGTACTGGAATATTACTCTCTAATCCATAGGACAGAGGAGTGTTAGACACGACCTTCCCATGGGTATTGATAAAAGTTTTTTTCATGTTGAATTCTATGTGAATTATTTGTCTGGAATTAGTTTTTTTTTTTATTCCAAGGGGTTAACTGTTTGTATCCGTCGATTAAGTGATATATAAAAGCCGAAATTTCACCCTCCACTATTGTTTTTTTTTGACGAAAATATCGAAAAAACAAATCCCCCATTTAGATATTTAGAAAACAATAGGATTGAGCCAAGAATTATTTACTTTTTAATTAGATCCTCATTTCTGGCTCTACTCTAATATATATTTATATACATTAGAGTAGAGCCAGAAGAGATAAGGGTCAAAAATTGGAAAAGAAAACAAAAGGCACATTATGCGGAAACAGTAGAAATGACTTTCACACAGACCACACATGAAAGCATTCCAAAAGAAAGGATAGGCTTCTGCTAAATCACAACATTTTACGGAGCGCCATAGTTATTGACAACATACCAAAAATAGGTGCATTCATTCAGGTTCCTATTGATTCTGTGATAACTATCTATTCTGTATTAAAATGAGTTGATAAAGATTTAAAAAGAAGCCACCACTTACCATTTCTTACGACCATTTATATCAAATATTCCTGGTTTTGGAACATTGCATGGACCAGTGGTAGCCTGAAATAAAAATGAGATGAATGTAGCAATAGAGAATTTCACATTATTTCCATATATATATCATACCGCCTAACGATGTACAAAACAAATGAAGGATTATGTGGCATCCTCATTGAAGTAATATAGTATATTTCTATTAAAAAATTGAGAACAATACAACTTTATAGCAAACATACTTATCAATGGATTCAAGAATTATTTAAGCTCATTTCCCGACCGAAAGCTGCTACCTTGATGTGGTGGTCGGGCTTGAACACCGCAATGACTCAGCAAGCTATACTGGCTGAGACTTATGTCGCTTGAGGTCCTACCATGCCAGAAAGGTTGTTTGGATAGTGGTTAGACAAAAAACAGTTACCCAATCCAAAGCTATGACTCAAAAAAAATCACAAAATATCATGTCGGATCGGTCAAGACCCGGATTGACAACGACCGCGCTGACTGCTGGCATGTCACAGGGCAGAAGTGATAAATACGCTACTGACACACACCAAATAAAAAAGAACAAACAAAAACAGGCCGTGTGTGACCGGCCTCAAGCAGTTGTCCCCTGGGCTCTGCGGTCACGCAATCAACTTCCACGGTGTGGGCAGCCGGGAAGTAACAATCGCCCTCACAATCCGAAATACACGCGAAACCTCTCTAATCCTCACTCATCTTTGTCTTCATCTTCATCTCTATTATCTTGCCTTCCTCCTACTGATGCAATCCGATGCTCATTCATTATATGAGATCGGAAAAGTTACACAGATCAGAGTGAAAGTGACTTAAGATTTATCAAAATAGACTGACGCTTAGATTAACAAGCCGTTAGTTAACACAATATCGTCAGTGACTAATTCACAGGTACAAACTCACCTCATCACTGAGGCTAGTGTATACAATGAAGCCGCAAAAATTGTTCAGCATTTCATAAGATGACCTAATTTCAGTGTGTCAGTGCTTCGGTGGCACAATACTTGCCAGCCAATCACGTGGTTCGAGTTGCGATCCCCGGTCGACGTACTCCTCAACTTCGCTTAGCAGGCAGTAAGCCCCGTAAAGAGGGAAGGTTGAATGTGCGACTAACAACCCTATCACGTAAAAATAAACACCACCACTACTGAAACTACAAAGCTCAAGTTTGAAGCCCTGTGTTCCACTCGGGACGTAAAGCAGCTTAGTTTTAGTTTTGAATATATCCAAAAATTCTCATTCACTCTCTCTCTCTCCCCTGTACAACACATAAATTCATTTGACAAATGGTCAAGTTATATGAAATTAGACTTTGAAATAAGTAACAAAGAGAAAAAACAAACAATGTTTTAGCCAATAATTAACGCCAACATAATAACCAGTCTCTGATTTCTTTTATTCTGAACAACAACACATACACTATAATTATAAGTGAACAGGGTGAGAGCAACAAAATGAACGGGATAACTTTGTTGGTTCGTGTGAATACATACAACAACAATTTAGCTAGAAGTATATAAAAAGAAAGCACAGATTTTAATTATTTAACATGAACATGCAGGCCATTAATATGGAGCAAATGAATAGTAGAGTGGGAAATGGAAGAAAAAGTGTCTTTAATGGTTCTTCTCTAACTGATATCAGTTCGTAATCAAACTTAAAACAGTTCAAATCCCTTCAAATCAACATTTGAAAATTCATCTGATGCTCACTAGTGATTGACTAGAGAATGAAGTTGTCTGAAATTATGGTGAGAAGTCGTAACTAATGGGGCCTACTAAGTTGGATATGAGGACAAATTACTCACGGATGACATTGGCTGGCGATCACGTTATATGCCACGAATTGGTATAAGTTAGAATTCAACGGTTAGTCACTGGATTTCGTCCTAGTCGCTGAATGGTCAACAAGTGCGGTTTGTAACCTGAAAGTCCTGGGTGAGTACTGGTGGAAAGTCTCAGACAAGGAGGAAACAACTACCTAATACTACCTGGTTTTCAATGGTTCTCTAACTGAAGCCAGTTCGTGATCGATTTTGAGGTAAAATATGTTAGTAAGGTTGTTTGTATATACAGAAATAATTGCGAGAATATTTTAGAGTTAGAGACGGAAGTCTGGAATTGACTAGAGGTATACAATTGGCAAGATATTCAAGTGTTGAATAATGTAATTTTAATTTTTTAAAGATTTTTTGGTTACAGCTTGATGCCACACCGTATTTTCAGTACAAGTATGGAATTTTCAGCATGGATATCGGTAGCCCAAATTTTGCAGGCCGACCATAGATATCGGGTGTGCGTCGGCAGGTGATCGAACCCCGGACCATGTGCATGGTCGGCGAGCGTCCTAACCTCTGTGCCACCGATGCACATGGGTAGAGGTCAAGAATATGGATAAAGGCAAAATTAATGGTATGAAATTTTTTTCCTTTATGCTAAATACAATCTTTTCATGAAATCAAATATTTTCCAGAATGGAAGGTCAAGATCAACAACAGCTTTTTAAATGTCGAACTTGCATTTTAACCGTTTAATGGTTACCGCTTAAGTAGCACTTTGTGAACTGGAACCACCTTGAACTTTAATTATCTCCAATGATTCTGAAGAATCAATTAATATATATATATATATATATATATATATACGGATACGAGCAAGCTTACTAATACATCTTATCTTTTCCATTCTACTGTGTAATTACTTAATACCAATAGCCTTTATCTCCATGCCGAATCACTAGTCTATGTACATCTTTTGTGCATTAATATTAAAATTGTTTTAGACTATGCAGTTAACAAGAACCGACGGAATGAAAATGGTATCTCACATTATCCTGCTCAATTTGTTATTCTTCATTATCAAGAGGGGATATACTGGTAAACAAAATAGGCAAGTTGATAATTACCAAACATTTTCCATACTGACAGTATTTCTACTACATAAAATAAAGAGATTGTATCACTCGTTCATATATTACTTTTCTTTCTGGACACTCCGCCTATCTACTAGTATTTTCCACTAAGCATCTAATGCAGAAGCCTATGTTTCGCTGTTAAATTGCATTGAATCTTAAAAAGAAGTTAATCTGGATAAGGTAAGTAGGATTTATCGCAGTCTTCAATTGTGCAAGTAATCAGTTATTATCAGCAGAAAACCCCGCCAAAAGTAATGAGATCAGTCGTTACCATATTCAGTTGCTCACTTTGATTTCATTAACGAAATCTATTAGTTGAGTTTCAGGTTGAGAAGAAATAAGTTTGACAAAAAAAGACAGGGATGGACAGGACAACATCCTAAATAGAATGAAATCTGGCTACAACTCATTTATCTGTATTCACCTGCTTGGAAAGAAGATTCTTATGATCATTATGATAAAGCAAGTAAACACTAGAGTGTATTCCGAATCAAGGCTTCTGTTTGCATCTGAAAAAAAATTAACAGCTCGTTGCAGTTCGATCTTTTTGAGTAGCAGAAGTAGGAAGTTAATGTTGGCCAGAAGTAGATTATGATTTACGAATAAATGCAAAGGACGACTCTCAATACTTGACGACCTACAATAATGTTGTCTACAGTTTTCATTGGAACTACTCTGCTTTGAAAAATCCAGACGCTCGACTTGAACATTCAGATCAGTAGATAACACTAAGTTATCCGATAACCGCACCTGATTAAGGTCACTTAATTGAATCCAAACCGCGATCCATGGGTGCATACAAAGAGATGACAGAAGAATAACATTTGTTAATTTCTTCATAATCTGATTAAATTGTCTACCTTATCGGGACGTAAATCACTGTTATTAAGAACCCAGTTGAGTAACACAGCTCTCGTTCAGTGGTTGGTGCAACACTGATACTGATACTACAGGATCTGTGGATTAGCATACGTAAAATGTACTAGTTGAACTGACGGACAGAGAAATCACGCAAAGCATTTCATTGGACTTTGAGACGCAGCGTAAACCAATAAGAGGGCATTATACAGTGTAAGTTGTCCATTTATATATGTATATATATATATATTCGAAATCGAAACCACAGATAAGATTTGTAGCCCACACAGATATTTTTCGAGATAAATGGCTCAATTATGATACCTTCATTTTCAGCCCTAACTTTAGGAATAACCAACTGTGAGTTAAAAAACTGCTACCTCTAGTTCTACAAGAGATAGAGTTGTGATCATTAAAGGTCTAGATATGAGCTGGCTTTGTTGATAACAGCTTCCTTTGAAATTGCACTGAAGGGATACCCAGTATGTCACTGAAATCTAAGGTATTAACCAACTTTGCTCAGACTGAGTTTCGACATTATAATTCCCAAAGATGTGCATCATTTCAAGTGGCCACACTCCATATAGCACACAAAGGTAGGGCTAAGAAAGAAAAAACATATTCAAACGAACAGTAATCAGCAGAAATATGAGGGAAAAAGAATAGTAACATGGAAAAACCTGAAGGCTCAACGGATATAGAAGATCACAAAGAGTGAATGCATCTGTGCCATTCACAACGATCTTGAGCCATATCACTAATAATATCCAGTCATTGGTTCTTAGCATCTCGACGAGCCCAACCAATTAGTCTACACCTCCCTACGTAAATGGATCAAATTTACTGTTAAAGACTTCGTAGACTGATTCCAGATTTTGTTTTGACCACCCGTTGCTTTTTTCCAACTTATTCTATCGTAGGCTAACATTTCTCATCGAAGAAGGCGTCGGTTCTGGATGTAGTTTCACAACTTCATCGATTAACTTATTCACCTTACCTAACACGACGCCTAACTTTAGAATAGATATCCATACAGAGATTCATTTGGTGGGCTACAGACATTTATAACTGTTTTAATTTGGTGAATGATGTTTAAACCGCATAGGGAGGTGTAGACTTACTGGTCAGGGTCCTCGGGATTCTAAGAACCAATGGCTAGAGACAATTGGCGATATGGCTCAAGAACTTTCTCGATGGCGAGGATGAATTCGCTCTCTGTGATTTATCATATCCAGTAAAACTCTATTGTTCTTCCGTATTACTATTCTTTTTCCCTCACTTCTGTTTATCTCTCTTTTGAATCTTTCTTTAAAGGAGAGGGTGTGGCAACTCGAACTGCTGCACATCTGTGTAATGTTCTATGTTGAAACCAATTAGCCAAGTGAATGATGGTTCACTGGTACTATCACTAGTCATACACAACTTATTACACCTTAAAGCCCTTCGAAAAGTCATTCATAATGATTGAAAGTTACTATGAATGGTTTCATAACGGTTGATTTAAATAATTCTGTCTGTCAAAATAACGGTCAACATTAATGAATACGGTTGCGCAGTCTCTAAAATTACTTTTTTGTCATAATACTTTGTGAAAAGTCGTATTACTTAGCCTTAGAAGTTAAACTTATATCTGTACTCTGCGATTGAGTCAGACTGACGGGTAAGAAGTTTGCATAAGAACAATTTCATCGCAGCACTGGTCTCGATTCGGCTGAAGTTTGGTACACCAGAGTAAAAACAAAATCCCTGTAGATTTAAATCTTTCAATTAAGAATTACACGGTTTAAAGTGAAAATTCACCATAGTTTCAAGTATTCCGGTCAAGGTAAGATCTATTTGGTGCTATAAATAGCAATCAAGAAAGCAATCATCCCTTTGACCAAAGAGATACAGTTCACTAATCTGAAGTTACCTGGGGAAAATCATGATGAGCTCGGTCACAGACGAGCAGGACAACCATCCAGTGCATAGATTGCTCTAATATGACTAGCAAACACTACTGTTTAACATGGTCGGTCGGTCGGTTTTCGACATAGAACTTTGCACATATGTGCGGCAGTTCCAGTCGCCACAATCCATGTAGCACGCAAAGGAAGAGAAGAAAGTAGAAGAAATGCATAATACGGACAGTAAACAGAGGAGTGAGATAAAGGAATAGTAATAACGAAGAACAAAACAGTTTCATTGGAAATCATAAGTCACAAGGAGTGGATGCATCTGCGCCACTGAGAACGATTTTGAGCCATGTCACCAATTGTTTCCAACCATTGGTTTTTACCGTCCCGAGGACCCCAACCAGGAAGTCTACATCTTCCTACGTGGATTAGACTAACTGTTGTGGATTTCATTGACTGGTGCCATGTTTTCATTTGACCACCGCTAGCTCTTTTCCAGCCTGACCCTATGTCAGCCAGCTAACATTGCCCGTCGAGGGAGGCGATGGCTAAGCTAGCATGCGTAGCACATGTCCTAACCATCTCAGTCGATATAACTTCACAGTCTCGTCGATTGATTTCCCCGCCTTACCTAGCACTCGACGCCTAACCTCAATATTGCTCACCTTATTATACCACTTCACCCGGGAGATAGAACGCAGACACCTATGATCGAAGACAGCTAATCTTTTCATGTCTTCTGCTCTCAATGGCCAGGTCTCACAGCCATAAAGGAGGACGGAGAGGACTGTTGAGCAGTACACGCGCCCTTCGGTCGATAGTCGGATATCGCGTCTACGGCAGAGACAGCGAAAACTGGCGAATGCGAACCTAGCCCTCTGTATTCGTGCTGAAATTTCATCTGAGATCAACCCGTTGGGGCTGATGGTACTTCCCAAGTAATTGAAGCGGTCAACGTGTTCTACTACTTCACTTCCTATTTCTAATCTAGGGGTCGGTGAAGTCCAATCTTGCAGCATCATCTTACATTTTGCAGGGGCGAATCGCATGCCAAACATTCTTAGATTGCAGCTCAAGGTGTTCAGTAGACTCTGCATTTTGTCAGAGTCCTCGCCTAGAAGGACTATATCGTCTGCATATTCTAAGTCAACGAGATTCTTCCCTGGTAGCAAGTCAATCCCTGAGTCGCTGAAGTGTGTTAGGGTTAAGTCCATTAGTACGTCTATGATGAAGTTGAATAGGAATGGGGATAATGGGCATCCTTGACGGACGCCACTAGTCGTCACCACTTCAGATGACAACTCGCCATAAGCGCTCACCTGGCTGCATGGGTACGAGTAGAGTGCCTTAATCAGTGCAATGTATTTTCTCGCCATTCCCTTTACAGCCAAGCATCGCCAGAGAACCTCCCGGTCGACAGAATCGAATGCCGCCTTTAGGTCAAGAAATATAATGATTGTCGGACGCCGGTAGGAATGCCTATGTTCTAGAATCTGTCGAAGGGTGAAGATATGATCAATACACCCTCTACCTGGCCTAAAACCTGCCTGGTTTTCTCGTGTTTGTGCCTCCCGAGCACCACTTAGTCTACGCAGTATTATTGAGCCTAGGATTTTAGATACTAAATTAGTCAAGCTAACATGAGTGATTTCCAATTACTCATTACTCAATGATACGTACTGTTAGACGAAAAGCAGTTGGATAAACGAAGCTGATTAAAGCTATTTGAAGACAGACCATGTAATAGTCATTTATTTCGTGAAACCTCAGTGCATATTATTTCAGCTACAGTAATCCTTTATTCCGAAGGACTACAACATCCAAGTGATGTACGTCTGTTTGCCCCTTCCAAACCATGCATAAATGATTTTTCGGTCTAAACATCTCTAATTCTTTCCTAACCTACGCCTACTTATGGTAACAGCTCATCTAGGTGTATTTTAACCGTCTCAATCATTCGAGCCCCACAATCCTTTATACATTAACTTATCTTCCTTAAATAAAACCTTACACCCAACTTCATTACCAGTGGCAGTGTTGCCTACCAAACATGAAAAACAAAATAAGGGCATCTATGATCAAAAATTTTCTATATCCTCTACCCAAAAAAGTCACAGGATAAGGAAGAGCTATGTGTTACATAGTAGCCGGATGTTACGTCTGCTCAATAAATGACGCATATTGGTATATGTCGAATGAGCCTTCTGCGTCAGTGCTAAGATTTTGTCAGCAACCATCCTACTAAGGTTGACGTAACTTCTAACTAGTGAAGTGACTGACACATTCAACTATTTTACTTTCTATTTTTAAAATAGGAGTTGGTGTTAACTACTCCCATAGCATCTTCTTACATCACACAGGAATGAACAGTATCCCAAACGAACATAGATCCTAATTAATTTTCAGACTGCATTTTGGCAGTATCTTTACCTAAAGGTTAATATCATATGCGTAACAAGACCTGCTCTTGGTAGTAAGCCAATTTTTAAACGGTCAAAGTCAGCGTCATGTATGAAAATAAATAAAAACAGTGACGCTGGGCATTCCTAGTGTACACTACTGATTATTGTCACCAGATGAGAACTTTATTTGAGCCCTTACACATCTGCACGAATTTGAGTACAGTTCCTTAAAGGAAATGGAAGCGCGTGGATGGATATTACCTCCCGACGGTCCACACTGCAGGAGAGCAGAGGGCACTGACTAGCACAATACACTTCTTCAATGATTTCTTCACAGAATCAAATGACACCTTCAGATTAGTAAGCCAACAGGTATCACCAAAGCCTCGATTAACGACCTGATCTTAAGTCATGGGTTACCAACTATCTTTTTTCATACAGACAGAACACGCCTGATGCCCTGTGACTACTGTTTCGGAAAGAAAGTGTAACTGAAATAAAGTAATTATGAGAATCATGAAGTCTTTCTTTGTCTAATTTAGGTTCAAGAGGCCTGAATACGAGCAATGACCTTAGTGATGATTGTCAGTAAATAACAAGACTTTCTAATCTTGAGAAGAAAGGAATTGCTGCAAAGATTTTTCACTACTATTTAGCTGAAAGATTAAGACATACTTTGAAGCGACCGACGAAAAAATAAACTGTCTTTTATCCTTTAAAGTTTAAATATGCCAAATTGACAGGAAAAAAAACACATAACTGACCTGCTTGTATCTGGCATAAAGGTATAGTAACACATTTGAATCCAGAGAATTAACTATTCTGGGAAGATACGCTGCAGCTTGTTCAAAACAACTTTCGGCTGAAAAGTTGTCCAGTAGATCGGCCTAAACGCATGGGTCGATAAGTTAAATTATTCTATTTGAAAACAGAAACAGAACTACACGTAGTTGATTATGTTTGTATTAGCACAAAAAATCAACGAGTAATTACATACAATTAGCGAAAAAGTAACAGATAACAAGATCCATTAAAAGGGAATTAAGATCTCAATCTAAATGTAAAAAAGGCACATTCATCATATGAATATGGGTGTTATTTTATAAAATAATCACCTGAAAGACTATATGAAATAAACGGTATGCTGAAAGTTAGTGCAATGAAGCTAAGCAAGATCAAAGTCTTCTAAATGTACTATATGCTTTACAGTATACATCAATTAGGAGCTACTTGAGTCTTCTGGAGGAGGAAAAGACAACTCGTAATTAGATTTCCAGAAAGAGAAACTTGAAAATGTAGACAAATCAACAGATACAACGTCCATTGAAGGATTGGATGAGTGTTTAGAGGCTGACGTCGACTTTTCACCCTTGAGATTTAAGTCAGATTCTATTGGTGATGAAATTGATATAGCTTGCGAACTGCATAAAGACGGGAAATAAAGATCCACCGAGTCACCTAACTCCTGATATGTTGTACTTCTGACATGCTGATATTCATTACGAACTTCTCCACGTGGGTTAATTGTAAAAATATGACACAGTTGAATTCCAGCTTCCTGATATGCAAAGACATCGTTTACTTTGTTACCAAATCCTGCGTAAAGAGGGCAAGTACCCTTGGGGAAGAGATCACATACATCTTGCAGACACTGTGTTTTAAAAATTTCAGGTTTATTGATAATAACTTCTTGGTGGAAAGCATGGAGAAGGGAATTAGGAGATAGTAAGATAGGTCCGTCTGGTAGCCTGGATGCCGAGTCCTGGACGACTTGTCGCAAATAGCTTCTTGTTATCCCTGCTTGGCCAAGTGCTCGAGCCGATAAGTACACAAACTGATAACCATTATTTCGAATACGGTTGTACAATCGAGCAACTCCAGGATGCGTCCAGTCGTGACCCAACATAGGTAGGAGATGTCCAAGGAGATCGCTGCGTGTAATGGTACCATCAACATCCGAAACAACTATCTTGTCGTACCAATGCCAATAGTAAATGGAAGCTGAGCATGTACAAGTTCCTTGGTACTTTGTAGTTAAGCGGAATTCTACATCGTTTCGACCAGGCTTCAGTTTTAATTTGGCTACTTCGCTTGAGGAAAGCTTGTTGATTCTGGTAACTGTTTGGTTACTCTGTTCCTAAAAGTATAAATTAAGACTATCAGGGTAACTTACCGGAGTTGCTTCCGAACAGCTGCAGTTAGAATTCTGTGGTTTGTCCTCTTCTTTTTTAGATGGTATAACAGGTTCCGGGTCTGCAGTTACAGTCTGTGTATAACTAGTGCCCCAGCTAAACCATGAAGTACGCCGAGACTGCTTTTTGGGGAGATATTGGCTCTCTAACCTTTGCAAAGTCAAATAAGGCAACTGCGTTTGAAACGCAAGTACACTAACTATAGAAGGAGCAGCTATTTGCCAGTTGCAATAACGGCCATTGAAATAGACCACAAGATTCGGGTTGGACAGAATGGCATTGGGCTCACGAATAAATTCTTCGTAAGAAACTATGTGTTCTAAAAACTTATCCTCAGAACAAGGTTTGTCGGGTGACAAACCACCACACAATGAAAGTCTCAAGCTTGCAATCTGTGGACTGACAGGCGATATGCTCCTGGGAGTGTGCTCATTATCGGATCGATAACCGTAATCTGCATATCCACTATCGGTTGCATGTATTGAACCATAACTTTGGCTATGACTGGATGGATTAACATGAGATGGAGGGTATATGTAAGCTTCTTTAATATTTTGATCTTGTTGTGTAACCAGTTCCTCAAGGTATAACCCCTTTCCACATGGGTCATTGACTTGCATTGTCCCATCATCTCTAACGACACTTTTGTCTTTGTTTGATATATCTGAACTATTAACAGACTGGCATTTTTTTGGGTCTTCAGAACCCCAGTTCCAGCTATATTCCCTCACAGCAACTTTAGAACTTTCATCAAGCTGGCTATCAGAAACGAAGTTGTTACTCATAGAATTCCGACACCTCAGTGAGTCCTTTATTGATTCATCCAAAGTTTCACAATCAGAAGAAACTTCGTAATCATTTATCTCATCAATATTCTCTTCTATTAATTTAGATTCCGTACCAGGTTCACTCATGGCTGAGTCTCGGCGAACTTTCCTCGGGTGCCGACGCATGGACAGCCCAGACCAAGTATCATCATACGCAAAACCTGGGCAACCAACTGTGTCTGATGGTAAGAATTCGTCGGTTACTGAACCTGAAGAATCCACGAAGTACGCGTCACCATCACTTCCCAAACACATTCTTAAGAAATCGACAAATTCACCGTTGACATAAATTTCCACAGTCTTATCAGCCGGAGATATAGCTGTTAGCTTTCCGAACCTGACATGGAATGGACCACAGGTAAAAGAGCCATCCTGTTGTTCCACAACAATTACATCGATAGCTCCAGTAAGGGTCGCAGGGTTAATATCATTATAAGCACCTTTGATTCCAGACAGTAAGCGGCCCAAAGACTTCCTTTGTAACTATTATGATGAAGAAATACAAGAACCTACCATGACATCATTTAAACGTGCTTTACGGTTAGCACCTTAAAAGTAGATAGTTTCTCCTTGTTCTAACCAGTGGCATTTAGAACGTCATGAAATCCATCCACCGTATCAGATAAATAAGGCTTTGGTAGTCTCGTGAAAATAAATATGAAGTGTTTACTACCAAGAGGAATGAAACATAAAAGTGCAACGAAAATAATTACGTTCAAACTCCCCTCGAAATCTGTAAGGCCACATACATTTCGAAAGCGATGGCAAAGACGAATTTCAATTGGATACATTTTCTCGTGTTATATTATCTAAATAAATTTTTGCAGAGGAATAGTGAAAGGATTCCATGGAAAATAGACAGAGCGTACACCACCTGAAGATGTCAAGGCTGCTGAGATAGCTGAAGAAATAGGAAGATATGCCATACTTTGAATGGACATTAGGCATTAACTTATACCATGTGTCTAGTCAGCGTTTGGCGCAGATTGGATTCTGTCAGTAAATTTTGGGGCTGTAAGCAATCTGGAAATCGAATGGGAGTGATCTCGCCATACTGTCATCTGGAGATTCCGTAGTCTACTCCGGTCACCCAAGTGATAACCAGAAGCTCAGAGAAGTGCAGTCATCTTGATGTCAGTGACAGAATAAAAGCACTCGTGCAGCGGTGCTGTGAAAGCAAAACTCGACTCAAAAGGTAGGAAAGTGGAAATCATATAGTACTACGTACCTACAAGACCACAGACTTGTAAGAAGGGAGATTTCTTCAGGTAACTATGAGCAGCACCAAACAAAGTCAGTCGTACGGCAACATTGAATTTCTAATAGGTGGTATGGATGCCAGTCAAACCTGTAACAGGTAATAGGGTAGGGTATTTTATCATGGGTCGAAAACCCTCGGTATAATGAATGATAGCAGAGAACCCCCTGCAGAATTCTGTTCCTGTAGTGATTTGCTGACCGGATGCAGCGTGAACAAGCAAAAGGATATGCACAATGCAAAGTGTATTTACCCACATTGGTACGTCAGAACTCAGATAGACTTCGTCGGAAAATCAAGATTTTGGATGCACCTCTGGATATACATGGATCGAGAAGTGAAGCGGCTGTAGTTACAGGTCACTGTCTATTCCATTGATTACTAAAGATCAAGTCGAAATTTCCGGAAAGAAAATCAGAATCCAAGTTCAAAACTCAGAGACTGAATGGCAAAGCCATGTAGGATTCTTCCATACAGTCATCAGGAAATTGTCGAAAATATTACTCATAATCACCGGGGAAGCATGAATGGAAGAATGCTAGATCTCCTCGAAGGAAAACTGCACGGACATTTAGGGAGGATAAAGGAGCATGGCCTGAAGTTGGCACACGGGAATTGGTAATGGGGAGGTTGGGGAAGCTACTGGTGAGCCAAGTGCAGAGATGAACAACGAAAATAGGAGCTGAGAACAATCTGCAGACCACTGATCAAATAGGTGAAGAAATGTGCTATGAAAAGTAAACGACGTTTCTGGGACATATTGGTACCTGGATTAGAACAGAGTACATATAAGAAACATCTCACAACTCTTCGCCAAACAATCAGGTAAGTGTCCTCTAAATAATCAATGAAGGTAACTTCAATGAAATATAGTGAAGGAAGGTGGAACGGCTGAAGACCTGCTCTTACAAATTTGAAGGACTACTGAGTAGGCCACTACCTGCAAAATGTCAAAGAATAATACCGCGAGATAAAAAACCTCATCTAAATGTAATAGTCTGACAAAAAAGAGGTCCTGAAGTCTAAAATTCTACCGGGAGGTGGAAGAGAAAAGTGTTCAGATGGATTCTCCTTAGAGGGACTGAAAAGTGAGCTGAAGACCTCACCAAATATTATGACTCCAGCAATGGCAGGAAATGCGGTCTGAAGGAAGTGAAATTGTTTATTGGAATAACGGCTGTTTAGTGAAATTGCCTATGCAAGAGCCGGTGCGACTTGATGCCACTCTTCAAAACGAGCAAAATATTAAACCAAATCATCCTAAAGAGACTAAAAGATACTTTGCAAGTAAACCTCCGTCAAAGGAGCAGAATGGATCTATGAAAAACAAGGTGATCAAACAGTAACACTGAAAGTTACCACTGAGCAAAGCGTAGAGTGGCAACTGATCCTACTTCTCAAATACGTTGGCTTTGAAGTGGCTCTCCATAGCGTTGACCGCGAAGTAATTTGGTTACTGCCTCAATACCATGCAGTGTAGCAGCTATATGGTGATGCAGCATGCCAGAGAATTCGAAACGGAGAACTCAGTGAGTCCTTTGAAGGGGAGACTAAGACACCGATAATCCTTCTGTATAAGGTGGTCTGGGTCATGTTACTTGGATTGGACATACGGTAGATTGGCAAAAAGTTTACAGCATATCTGGGTTTCGTGATAGGTCATGTTTCATATCACGCACACCTAAAGATTTGCAGCGGAAACCAAAAGATTGGAGGAGGAGTAGCGGAGCGGACAACAAGTGTAAATGGTGAAGGGAGAGGTCATGAAGCTACCTGACCGATAACCAAGTGACAACAGTCATTATCAAAAGAAAAGATGGAATGCAAACCGTCCGTTTCAATAACTGGGGCTGTCAACATAGTTTTACCAACAGGGAGGTGACAGGGGTGATATGTCGTTACCAGCCACGATGGCGGTGAAAAGCAAGATAGACTTTTATTACTCCGAAATTGGTGTAGAAATACTGGCATAAATATCGCGACAGCGAAATTTAAGTGTGAACTCTTAGCATCTTCTTATACAATAGTTTGGATCTATTGTTATCACACAGTCAGCTACAGCTCTGACTTAGAATAAGACAAGTACTAATATAGTTACCCCAAAGAGAAGGCCGAAAACGTTACCAAGACTAAACAAGAGTAGTCTGTCTTATTTATTCATATTCAATCGTAGAATGTTACTTCCCTTCCCCTTTATTTTTCGGTTATTATCCAGGCATGTCCTCCTGCTTCAAGGGTTTCGGCCTTCCAGTGGGTCCTCATTTAAATCTCAGGTAAAAGAATGCGAGCCACAGACTACCAAAAGTCATTTATCATTAAGACCTCATAATGTCTGCAGGAAGCTTAATCAAGTCTCGTTTGATAATTTCACTAACATCGAAGATAGAACAAATCTAAAGTTGCCATAAAATTTTTAAAATTTGCTAGCACTAGGGAAAATTGTAAGACTAGCTATCCCGACATAGAATAAAAAGATTTAACGTCAATATTCCACTTTTCCCTTGTAATAATATCGTGCTTAGGGGTAATTAGGATATAACCGAAATCCTAGGGTGATTGGAATTCAGTCAGTTTTAATTCCAGGCAGATGAAACTCTGTTGATCATCCGTTCGTTGGCCATCATTTTTATTACAATTAATTATCCTATCGGGATATCTGAGTACCATTCGAGAAATCGGGAAATTCCGCTAGCATATCGCAGGTTGAAACTTGTGATTCTGACATGCAATAGCTCATTAATAAGCACATTCACACATTTCCCTCATTAAGGGTTACGTCATCATTAGTACACTCACGTAATGTATACAATAAGCTGAAGGTCATAAATTTACGCAGTGACAGATTAATCAAATTTGAGTAGGAGATAGCCTAAATAAAGTGGCGGGGCGGAAGAGGTGCATTCTCCCTTACATTGTCCTGCCCCTTGCTAATGATCTCAACTTCACTGGGTTTATCTCCTTATGAAACTGGCTAGAGACTCATCTATGGTAAACAGTCATGCAATAACCGTGAAAATCAAAAGAAAAGGCATGCCAATACTTCTGCCTGAACCAAATCAGGTAAAGCAAGGATAGGAGGCTTATGACTGTTGGAAATTGCAGCTGCATTGAGATCATCACTGAAGACAGAAGCACACATTCCGACTATACTTATGTCCTTCGAGTACTTTCAGCAAGACTCTGGACTAGTCTCACGATGATGGTAAGTGGTGGAATTCAGATCATTTGCCTCAACAAAAGGGCCACCTCATTCACATACTGGGTTGTTTCCCGATAGCTGACTAAGGTGCTAAGAAGCTTATCTGATTGCACGTTGGTGTGCACTATCAATATAGGGACTATAAGAATGCCGATTGGGAATTCTTATCAGATCTGTTCAGAAGTTCTGACTGGGAAGAATACTTCATCAACAATAACTTAGAAGTATCACTTGAGATTTTCTACAAAACAATTGGCTCAGCAAGAGACACAACCGCACCCCTAAAATCTGCTCTAAAGACATCAACTCCATTTATAGACCGCAAAACGCGACTAAAACTAAAGAAATTGAAAAGGAAATACCATGTATTTAAGGAATTCAATGCGTTAAACCAAATACATGAAACTCTTAAACTGCTTGAAGAGAAACACAAAATGATGTCACAACTTGAAGAAAATAAAGCGCTTGTGGGTAACTCCAAAACTCAGGAACTTTTAGGATATTGCAGAAACGTCTAAAAAGCAGTAAAGACAATACTGTAAGCAGCTTGGAACATAAGGGTATAATATACAATGATCCCCAGGTTATAAGTGAACTCCGCAGTGAATGGTTTCGCAATGACGTCAGAGTGCACCCGACCCAAAATTTCCAAATGACCTGCAAAAGTAACCACAAATTAGGCGAAAGAGACTTTAATATACAAAATATAGACTCAGCGATTAAGACATTGAAGTCTAATGGTAGTACTGGGACAGACGACATACCATCTGTCATATACAAAAACGGTAGCACGGAAATGATAGTCTTGTTACTTAGAATATTTACTCTCTCGTTGGAAACTGAAGCTTATCCTGAAGTGTGGAAAACCACATACATATTACCTAAGCACTAAGCAGGGGCCAAAACCAGTGCATGCAACTATAGACCTATCAATATAACACCGATAATATCCCGAATAATGGAGAAAGTGGTTAAAGACCAAGTGTCAGACAACTTACTAGAACATGAACTTATCAATCCATCACAACATGGATTTCTCAAAAAGAGATCATGTGTGACTGTCACATAGACTTTTTCAACGAAGTTACACGAAGTAGGGACAACAGAGAACTAGTAATTGTACTATATTTCGATATAACAAAAGCCTTCGACAGAGTTCCCCATAATCTGCTAGTCAGCAGGTTATGCTCACTAGGGATATGTGACCCTCTCCTGAGCTGGATAAAATCATTTCTCTGTGGCCGAAGTCAGACAACGAAAGTTGGCTCGATAATCTCAAGGCCTAAACCAGTAAGTAGTGGTGTGATCCAGGGAAGTGTATTAGGCCCACTCTTATCATAATATATATAAACAGTATCTGTGAATGCTTTAGTGTAGGTAAACCAATACTATATGCAGATGACTTAAAAGTGACGTATAAATGCAAGAACACAGATCTTGGAATAACAGTAAACGCCATACAGCAAGAATTAGAAAAAATGGATAGATGGTGTGACACCTGGCAACTCCAATTTAATGTCGAAAAATGTGGCTGGCTCTGCATAGGTTGCAACAATTTAGAACTTAACCTGACAATTCAAGGCCATGCACTTCAACGACTGGAATCTGTACTGGACCTAGGGCTGAAATATTCACATAACTTATCATTTTCTGAACATATCTCCAAACAAGCGTCAAAGTCACGCAGACTTATCGGCTTTCTACTCAGGAACTTCTACAGAAATGAGTCTAGAATTCTGTTGTACAAGGTTTGTGTGCGTCCTTTATTTGATTACTGTTCATTCATGTATAGTAGCATACGCATAGAGGACAAATTGAAAGTCGAGGGAGTGCAGAGGTATTTCACGTTAAAATTACTCGGAACCGAAAGTAGTGCGAACTACTCCACTAGATGTGATACCCTAGGATTAGAAACACTATGGCTAAGACGCCTGAGACTAAACTTAACACTTTACTATAAGCTTCTAAACCACTTAGTTTTTACCTCTACTAATGGCACTCGACTTTCAGATGACAATGGCTACAAACTAAGACACACTAAGGGTACAGTAGCTATCGAACAATGTAAAACAGCCACCAGGCAAAAGTTTTACTTGATTAGGTGCACAGATATGGAATAAACTGCCAATGGAAATGCGTCAAGCAAGTACATTGGCCTCCTTCAAAAAGGTGCTTAATGACAAACTACAAGAGTTTGCAAACGATAGTAGTTCTAGTTCCTATCTGAGAGCCTCCGAAATTATAGGTCCATTTAATGTATAAGCTTAAATACTACACCTGTTGTTTTTGCCTATATTTATAATTCTAGCTAAAACATTAGCGGTTAAGATACGTATCCTCAAACAGACAAGAAATCTCGTTTGTAAAACTACTACCCAACACAATAAGTGGAATAATATGGACGTAAACCGACAACATGAAAAAGGTATAACTCATCACAACATCACATGGACAGATGTACGCTCGCTGGGCACCATATATCCCTCACCAACTGCAATCCACCTTTCCTTAGATAATGCGATGAACTTATATCCATAATGTTGCTGAGCAGTTAATATTCTCAACTCCTGTCGGAACAGCTGAAATTCATAAACCTTCCTCACGCTAAGAAAATACCCACAAGCAGTAGAAATCCATTAATTAATGCGTCTGAAGCTTATGTATATTTACTCCCAACAATGACATTGCAGATCAAATGAGATAAACATATCACTGATTTCAAAATAACACATCAATGAACTATAATTCAAGGATTCTGCACACAACAAAGTTATGTATGAAAATTGACTTCAAGCTTTATTTTTTTCCCAGGCACTTATAATCCATCCACCAAAGACCTGGTTTTTTTTGTTAATGCGAAGACAATACTTCTGTATTTCCTTATGTGTTGCACTCACTGACAATCTAGCAGATTTTTCCAACTGTGCACAGAAATGATTGTATATAAGTGAAAGGCTGTTTTATACTGCTGGGATTAACATTTATCAAGTGTATGTATAATCTCCAGCGAACATGTAAAGCATATCTTGCTACCGCCTGTAAATTGTGATTGAATTATACGGTTCTTTTTCTGTAACAATTTGATGATGCCTGTAAACTGGCGTCCCTCACGTACTGTACTATGAGAATAAATTTATTAATTATTTTTTTATTAAATGACTAGTGTTAAGTTCAGTACTTGGTGGGAAAACAGTCACTTCATGGGAGCCCAGTGTATCTTTCTGAGGAACGGCAAACTGGACCAAGACGACCCCCTAAAATCGGAAATTTTTTCACTTCTACTATTAGTGTGGAGCCACTTCATCAAGGACTTGACAGATATCTCAGTATTCAACTCCCCAGGAAAATTTATATTCAAGGTATCCAATGGACCATGTGTGTAGATATCTGAAACACAGTAGACAAATTCATTCCTGTATTATGAACGATGAAATTGATAAATTATATCCATTTAAACCAAAAGGTTGGTGAAAAAGTTAAATTCATTGTAGTAGTGAAAATGTGTGTAAGCAGAGACTTGACTGGAGTGATCAACAAAACTTTCATTTGTTTATTGAAGTGGCTGGTTAAAATAGAACATTAGCTCTATTCAGAGTTATAAAACATATTTTATCGAAAAGATGTTAGATATGTGGTGTATTACGGCCTTTAAATTTAAATTGTGTTTTTCTTTTGTTTTAGCCACCTGATTTAAGTCCGGTCGGATTACTTTCGTTTCGCCATTGTTGGCTGTTGTCTGGATTATGTTTCCCACCCGTAGGTAGGTGAGTTTAGATGATTTTCTTTGCTATTGTTTTTGCGTTTTACACCTGACGCTATTATGATTCGATTGCAGTAGTTTTACGTGTATTTTGTCTGTTTATCTTGACTGTCAATGTGCCGAGGTGTTTCGCAATAGGACTAACAGTGTGTGATCTTGTGTATTCGTGAATGTGAGCTGAATTACAGTGTTTTTAAGGCTTCTCACAACTTATTGTGACAATTTTGAGAAGAAGTGGTGTTGTTACTTTCCGTATATTGTTGCTTGTATGAACATTATTGACCTGCGCCCATGCTTGGATATGACTGCATGCTTTTGTCATAGTTGATGAAAAAAAACTTATTTCTTGGATAATTTAGTGATATTTGTGGTGGTAATTTACTCGTGTATTTTCCACGTCCATTTTAAAGTTCAATTGTTTGACAGTTATCGAAGTTGTCAGTGGTTTTTAGCTAAATTTTGTCAGAATCGGCTTGCTGAATAGCATTTTGTCTGTAAAAGCACTTTTTGTTACTCAGCTACTAACGTTTAGGCTTTTAGTGTTGCTGCGTTACCTCTTGGGAACTTCGTGAGCACAACTTTCGTGGAAGTAACTATAAAGCTATCGATTTCTCCAAAATTTCATAATAAGCAGAAATTCCCTAATTTTCTTAGGATTCCACTTTTTCAAACGATAGCCTGTGGGTTTGGCTATTTGTGGAATATGAGGTAATTGTACTTTTGCTATTCTGTGATGTGCTGGTATTTCTAAAGACTGTTGTGGGTTCAATTTTTTTTGCCGTTCGTCTCAGTGACGTGCATGAGTATTCGAACTGACTATCTTATTTTACTGATTTCACTGATTCTTTACTAGGGAAGTAATTTGTTTGATGATACTAAACGTGTGTGCAGGTTTACACTATGTATATATATTTCGGTACTACCTGTGGATGCGTGCGTGTACATTGTGTGACAGCTGCCACGGCAAGTTTCTTGTCCAAAACACTAGGTGGGGTGGGGTTTGAAGCTTGATAAAATTTACCACACATCCTTCCCTGTTGCTGAATTGAGAGTTCTTCGTCATCCCATACTCTCAAGCGTGGCAGCTGCAGCAGATACTGTTCTGCGACAAGTTTCATCCTGGTTTGACACTTAGTTTACTGGTTTAAACGACTGATTTACTTGTGTGTCTGGCAACTGTAACCAATACGGACTTAAGTAAATAACCTACCTTCATATCTATCAGATCTTTCCTTTGTCTGAATTACTGTCGCATGTGGATTGTGTTGCAGATTTCATACAGATCTTGTACCTAAGCACTTTGTATAATAGCTACAAGAAGGACTAAGGCGTACCAGGATGGAGTAAAAGTTAGGCTTCAGAAAGATTCAGGAGCAACTGTTGCATGTTAACTAAGGTGCCTGAGTTGTGTGATTAATGTACGAGATGGTATATTGTTCAGTATACTGGTTTCTCAGTCATAGTAGTCTCTTACTATTGGACTTAGAAGCGGTCTAAATCAGCAACTGCTACATTAGCGTGAGGATACCGAGGCATCTAGACTAAAATGGTATCAGAGCTATGGGTCATGAGGTCTTAGTGAGTGACGTAACGGACTGCCTCAGTGTAGGCAGGCGCGGTTGTTCACACCGATGAAAGTTCTTATGAAGAGGTGCAGTCACGGAAGACAGCGTGCGAGTCGAACGAGGGTTTCGGGTATATGCAACAGAATCCTAAGAAAAGATGTATAAGAAGACTCCCCAACCATGATGCGACTATCTTAATATGCACAATGCACTGTGTAGTAACCCCAGGAACTACTATTCATGTGAATGTATGCTGGCTACATACATTTGTCATCGTTGGAATACATCGACCACAGTCAATCACTCGTTAGATTCTGCTAGTCATTTCGATGGGGTGCTCAGACCCTACTGAAGTATTCTGGGTATGTTTGAGAGGAAAGTCTGTGTGATAGGCAGATCTATTTATGATACACAGCTATATCAATGAATTAATATGTGGAAGTCATTTAAGTACATTTGCTACTCCAATGATGAGTTAGGAAGCAGGAAAGCAAGTTCTTATATCTCGCAGAAATATGTGGCTTTTCTACATGTATCAGTGAATGGCAAAAGTCATATAGCTGAATTTTATTTGTGGTAGAAAGCCATTAGGAGTTATGGTTTTTAGTTAGATGAGATCCGTCGTCCAGTGCAGAGTAAATTTTGCAGCAGTACTCTACAGCTTCAAATAAAGACATTGACCACCTTTTGAGGTTAGAAGTATTGGGCCACTAATGTTTATGTCTTTAGTCTTTTTTGTGGAATTGCATGACCGACGTAGTGGCGGAGGTGGTTCATTCAAATAAATTATAAAGTAGATGTGTGTAGAATAGATATTGAGGCCGCCTATCTACACTTGTCAAATCTGAGGATAGTCGCACCAGGATTATGCAGACAAATCACGCCAAAACGTGATATCAGTCAATTAAACCTTCGATTATTTGTTTGACTTAATGTCACTGGTCTGCATCCATATCATAACTGAAGCCCACAGTGTGTAATACTAGATTAAGAAGTCCATGATACATGGTGGTTGTGTAGATGCAGTTACCTTAGTCTTAATGTCGCCTGACCATTATTCCTATTTTTCCTCTTGACTTGGAACATCTTGCTACTCTTCTGTGATTTCCAATTATATATCCAATTTAATTTTTATTTGTGCATAAGATATTTCGTTTTTCACGTTGTTTGATTAGATTCAGTGTTGACACTTTTAACAGTCAATTTAATTACTGAAATAAACGTAAAATTCGGTGCAAACAATCACTTTGTTCAGTTTTTATAGTTAGTAGATATTTTCGCAGATTGAAAGTGAATGCAGATTCGCTACTTCAAACAATAAGATTAGCTGTCTCCTGGACTTGTGAACTATTTCTGTTGCTTCAGTGTACTGTTTCCCATTTCGACAACAGATCCTTTTTTGTAACATGTTTACATTTCTCGACATCAACGGTTAGTCACTCCAATATGTTACTCAAATGGTGGCTAGTTCCTCAAAATGATACGCTTATTGGTTTACAGACTAACTATGGTCAGATGCGAACCCCAGAACTTGAAAGCATTAGAATGTTACGTGAGGAGTGGGCTGTTTGTTCAAAGAACAGTCACCATTTTGTTACATGTATCTACCGAATTTTCACTAGAATGCTTTGTAAATCAAAAATAAGTATTGTAATTCGTCCTTACTACGACAATGTAACGTGTGAAATCCATTCAGATAACTTAATAAGCAAACATCGAATTAGCAACTGTATTCCTCCTTTTTTCGGCAAACTCGATTGTTAGATTTTTGTTGGTGTCACGCAATCCATCAGGTTTGCAAATAGGTTTTGTGGTTTGTAACATTTTGAAAAACTGCCGACTTTTTTAGTGTATGATAGACATGTCGACCGATGATGTGTATTAGTAACAACGATTAGGCGTATAGAGACAACTAGAGAGATGCACATTACGGTTATCTTTAACAGTAACATATCTGTAGACTAATTAGAGTCGAAGGGACATTACAACGGCTGGGTTTGCTCGGTATCTTGGAGGTGTACCCAAGCGTGATAATTAAAAATCAAACCAACTTTCCATGCATCAAATTTTAGATATGCCCACTGTGAGGTCATCGGTACAGGGAAGTCCTTGTAGGTTTGTCAGGCGTCAGACGACGTGCTCAACATGATCAAAGGATTACGTTTGCGTGTCCGACCCTTTATATTTATGCGCTATAAAATATGCATTGTTAAGCGTATTAGCTGCTGAATGCTGGTATAGGACACATCATTCGCCTCTTGGTTTCCTGAAGCAAGAGTATATTGGCAGCGTGGCTCGTTGGCCCAAGCATTCAGTTTTCAGCCCATGTGTTCCTGTTCAAATTCCACTCCACCTGTTTCACTTCGGGCAACTAAGTAGTATCACAAGCCCTCATACAGAAGTTAAGCTCATGTCCTGGTACACGTAGGATCTCTTCTGAACTACCGAGTTCAAAATAAACTGAACGTTATTCAGTTACGTTTCCCCATTATCTTCCTCAGTTTAACGTATGCCAAAATCTCCCGTTAAATCAAACTTTCATAAGATGATAGTAGTTGCGCTGCATAATGGGTTGGTTAAGTAGACACTTCATCCATTCAGACCTGATGAAATAATACTACGTTGCAACTAATACTTTTGCTAATTTCTTAGGTCCTAATATGTACTGTGATGCATTTATTCTCTTCCTTATTTTTATTGTACCAGGCACTGCACTCATTGCTTTATATACTGGTTTTTAGTAATATTGACCATAACAGTAGTTTCAGTTGAACAGTTTGAAAGTGATGCAAACTGAGTGACCAGTGGGATGCAAAGTAAGTAACATGCTTATTTTCTTACAATGTATTAGTTACTAGACAACTTTTGATAGTCTATATGATGAAAATTTCATTTTAGATTTTCGCCTATGCAATGAGCTCTGAAGCAAATCTAGATTCTTCCAATTCTATTAAATCAGAAACTCATGCTGCAAAGTCTCATTCGTCGAAAATTACCACCAACCAGTTGGAGTATATTAAGAAGGAAGTGGTTGGCAGGTTATTCAAAGAAAAGATAGTATGGCCATTTACAAAACCGGTTGATCATCAACGCCTAAACCTTCCAGTAAGCCTAATTCATTAGTAACCTATTTTGATAGGACTATCCTAAAATCATAAAACATCCTATGGATCTTGGGACAATCAAACAGCGATTAAATCTGAAATTTTATCATTCCTCTTCGGAATGTCTCGATGATCTTTTTACGATGTTCAGAAATTGTTATATATTCAACAAACCGGGAGATGACGTGGTTGCAATGGCAATGAAACTCGAACAGATTGCAAGAGAACGTTTAAAGTTTATGCCAACTCCTGAAACTGAAATCTGTCCTCAAAAAGCTCCAAAGTCCACTCGTCCCCTTACTACTCCCACGCAAGTTCACCCATCCATTGAATCAATCCATCCAGTTGCTTCAACTAATCATACTGAGGGGCTTAATGGTTCAGCCGTATCTGTAGACCAAACTACGTTACCTTTCAGACCATCAGTTACATCAACTTCTAATAAAAAAGCTAGTAAAAAGAAAAGTGAATCAGCAATAGACGAGTTGCCTTCGACCCCTCAGTCATATGATGACCTGTCACGAGATCGTCGTCAAATTAAAAAGCCGAAACGAGAATATGAAGAACGTAATGTTGGAAAGCGTTTACGGCTTTCTGAAGCTCTGAAGGCTTGCAGCAATATTCTGAAAGATATTTCATCTCAGAGATATCGGGTACGTTTTTCGTAATATTTTAGGTTATTGTTTTTAGGATCTAAATCATTTTTTCTTAAAACCAGTGGATGTAGTGGCCCTTGGACTTCATGATTACTATGATGTCGTTAAAAAGGCGATGGATCTCAGCACCATAAAGACAAAGCTAGAAAGCGGTCAGTACCACACTAAGTATGATTTTGCTGATGACGTCCGGTTAATGTTCAACAACTGCTACAAATATAATGGTGAGGATAGTGAAGTTGCAAGGGTTGGTAAACAACTACAAGCTATTTTTGATGAGAACTTCGCGAAAGTCCCAGACGACGAGTCAGATACAGCTGCCTCTCCTGACACTCGTCCAGCTGATCAGAATATGTATCAGCTAATCCAGAATGCTATCAAAGAACATCAGAAGCTAACAGCTCAATTTCAACGCTTTAGTGAAGATTTGCAGAAAAGTACGGCGAATTTGAATTCTATCTTATCTTCCCTGAGTGTGGCTATCAGGAAGGGTAGGTACTTTAGCTTATATTCATGTTTGTAGCACCTGTTGGTCACAACACACCGCATGTTAATTCACTTCCTCCGCAAACTGGGATTTCAACTGTTCCGCGTAATGCAATGAATGACTTAGAAGATGTAAACTCTACTAAGTAAGTGTCTTTTCAGTTAATCGATCATGCTTTCTTCAGGAGAAGTAGACAATCTCAGTCGAAAACAAAGTATCGACAATCAGGTCAGTTACATATTTTCGTATTTGTTTACTGTTAACCTATTTATTAAGCATCTTCAGATTTTGGTTTGAGGAAGCAGAGATTACAGGAAATTACTAATTTCCTTTTTTTGACTAATAAAATCTCTTATGTAGGGATTTGTGCAGAATTTACGAACGGTAGGATTCATAAGAACATTTTGTGCGAGGTTTTGGTCAGGTTCCCTTAAATGTCATTAAAACTGAGTGACTGTTCAGCCGTTGGTGAAGTTAGTTTGCCTCTTATCATTCACAAAATCAATCACAGCGGCTATTGAGTGTTACCCTATTAGTGCGTAGTATTGTAACAACAGAAGACAAGCGCCAGTCAACAGATCGTTTATTAAGGAAATCAACACACATTTATATATTTTCATGTACATTATTATAGATTATTGTTAGCAGAAAAACAGTCTTTTGATTGGTTGTTTCTCACTGAAAGTCAATCTTTCATCTCTTTGTGGCTGTTTCTTGAATGTCAAATCATCTATGTGCTAACTGTATCCGCCTACGCAAAGTCTTTGTTCTTATTTTTCTCACGACCAATATTGGGGACGTAAATACTGACGTAAATTACCATCTACCAATTTGGCTAGCAGCCAGCTCTCACCACATTATAACTAAGTAGCTGATGACGGAGAATACTATTTACCTCACCCAATTACGTATTCTCATATCAAATGGAGGCCATCTTACGTTTAAAAAACATCATCCGCAACTGAATTACTTGCTTTATGTTCTTATTGGGAATATTATTCTTTTTACGCTTGACAAGATCACGTAATGTTAAAAGCAGTCCTGTAAGACGCAAAGAATATTTTCCGGGTACTATTCTGGTTGTTCAAACCCTAATGTAGGTTAACCTTGTTTTATAGGCAAGGCAGGTGTTTACTGAAAGTAAAGCATACTCAATTTCATAGGCGTTTTCCTACCATGTTGACTTGTTTTCACTCCTTAAATCTAGCAAAGTTTCCTATTACTTAATACCATCTAAAGCGTTCTTAAGTAGTAAAGCACTTTTGAAATAACGATTTATCACGAGACGAATTTCCTCAAACAATTGAGGTAATCAAGAGACACTCAGGAAAAAGAAGCAAGAACTACGTGTAGAGTATAAGTAGCAAACTGATGTTTGTAAAGTCTTCTCAGGTGACATTCAAAGCTGTGATTCGATCACTTAAAATTCATCAGTGTCCCCAAAAATTATGAAAAAAGTCAAATCAGTAGCATTCCTGGTTTTGTTGACGATCAATTTTGTGGATTAATTAGTTTTCTAAAAGTGTAAGTTGTGTTCTCCTCACTTCTGAAAGCCACAAAAAGTCGGCTAACAGATTTACACAGTTCTGTCAGATCTATTTTAGTAGAAAAGTAGGAGACAAAAGATGGTGATACTATTTTCATTGGGGTTACTATCCTGCTACAGTGCTGTGAATAAAGTAACTGTGTTTTTTGGGGAGGGGGGTCATGTATCTACTATTCGATGAAATCAGTTAATTGTCTATGTTAATTATTGATAGTCTGGTTGACTTCTTTTGGTGGAGCCCTATATTATTTTATGCAGCCAATTGGACTCAGTATTTCATTTTAGACTTCTCTGTTACTGTTATTGTTTTTCTTATGACTGAATTACTTACATTTGTAAACTTAGATTAATCCACTTAGCAATGCACAAAAAGTGTGTAATGCCGTTTTAGTTTTCGTCATTAAATCTACTTAATCACTTTTGTAAGTTATTGAGCAATTACCTGTTTTGTATGGTGCTTTATGTATTTATTGCTATGCAATTGCCTGTATCGATAGCGATAAATTGCATAAGACGTCCGACTTGCTAGTTGGGTAGTTGAATGTACCTGCAAACATATTGATAAGTAGATAAAGTGTAGAACCTGTCATTGTATATGGTAATTTAAATAATCAACAAATATGTGGACTTTTGTGGAAATGTTACGTAATGAAAAGTGCTGGTGTGTGTTTGTATGTACTAGATGAGAAGTTAGATATTCCATCTATTTGATTAGTTTTCATAGGATTTTGCTTGTTTTAACATTCGTATATAACAGAAACTAACCTACTTATCCTTAATTCCTATGATTTATTACAAGCTGTGGCTAATTGGTCACTTAGGTATGTTTGTTTGTCACACAATGACAGGTGGAAGTGTTATTGAGTAATGTCTTGCTTCTAAGTTGTCAATTTGGGCAAGATGAAGAATGAACGGGAAACTAAAAGTAGTATTTATAATAATACTAAACTAAACAAAGACGTAAGATGATAAATTGCCACGTATTTATCATGAATAGAAGGTAGTGGGTTCAGCTTTAACATTGTAACTGATTTAAGCCTATGATGCTGGATTTACACAGTAGTATCTAATAAACTTACTGATTTGTTATTTGAGTGAGCTGCGTTTTCTTTGTGGTTCAAGCTAACAATTAACTGTTCGCATAATGACTACACGATACTTTCAGTTGGTTATCAAAGGATATTTCATATTCTTTTCAACCTGACCAAAACCTTTTGTGTGGATGTGTTGAAAACGTATTGGGAGGTGTGGGTTTGATAGCATCATTATCTGATTTGTTCACCTTATCCAAAACTTATCTTTGCTGTAGTGTCATTCGCTAATCAAAAGGGCTTCCTTGCGCGAACACTATCTTATAAGATATAGCTTGTCACTATTTAACTCCTGTCGATATTTCAGTGACTAGTCTAAGTATTGTAGGGAAAAGTGGGTATAATCAATCTGCTCACGATTCCAAAAGTCGCTCGAAGCAATAATTACAAATATTTGTTGTCTCTTATTCATCCGGCTGCAATTTTATTACCTGTAGATATTCGCACAGGGGAAAGATACACTCTGGCGGTTAGAAATGGAATTTTGACAATGCTTTCGTTTATATGAACATGTGGTTTAATGCAAAGATGTTAATGAAATTAGTTGAGTGATGTAAAGTACAAAGACCCATAACTGTGCAAAATTACAGTAATTATTAAACAGCTCAAGACATTCGTTTATGAGGCTGAACTGGATAGAACTATCTAGTATACTGTATGTGTGTTCCGAGGTGCGTAGTATTTTCCCTCACTTTATAAATATAAACTTACGGTTGTATATAATAACTTTATTTTACAGGGCTACCTGCTGCAGCCCCCGCTCTCAATACACCGAATGTTCCAGTTAGCAGCACAGTTAACATGAGCAGCACACATTCCCAACCTTTGCCTGTACCAGGATATACTACAGATGAAGAAATGTCCGAAAACAATGTTCGACCTATGACATATGATGAAAAACGTCAGTTAAGCTTAGATATCAATAAGCTACCTGGAGAAAAATTAGGTAGAGTTGTTCAAATAATTCAACAGCGTGAACCATCACATCGTGATTGTAATCCGGATGAAATAGAGATAGATTTCGAAACACTCCAGCACACAACTTTACGTGAGTTAGAGAAATATGTGAAATCTGTTCTACAAAAAGCGAAATCTGGTAGTCGTAAATATGTAAAAAAAGGATTAAGCGGTGTTCCGCCGGGTAAAACGCGTGAAGAGTGCATGAAAGAAAAAACGGAGGAATTGGAAAATCGGTTGAGAGAAATTGGAGGACTTCCACAAGGTGCTCCTGGATATCATAATGCTCATAACCCAAAGAAAGCGCGTAAGTATATACGTTGTACACTTTATCAGTATTATCACTATTTGTTTTAGTCTGTAGTCATTGAAACTTGATTCATTATTTGTAGTTTCTGTACTTGGAATCATTCTCATATTGGTTTTTGTTGTACTCATGAGAAGCAGTAGTTTTCAGTTTTTGATAACCGTCTCTGTTCATAGACTTTTATATGTCCTACATAAAGCGTGATTTTTCTCGATGTAATGATTACGATACAACATTGGTATTAATTTTATTCAGTATAAGAAAAAATACTTTAAATTTCCTGTATTATAACACTTGTCTCTGTATTATCAAAACTTCATACATATTCGTTAGTGTTTCTAAGTTGGGTTAAAATCGGTTTTTCCATTTGGACTATTTTCATTGCTTGAACATATACTGCTAGTTCCGATCGCATGGATTTCTAGTCAAAGTTTGACAACCATGGAGTTGTTTCCAAGGTACAACTTACCTCATTTGCGTTACAAAACATTTTAATCACTGGTCTCATTTTCTTGTCGCGTCAAGTCTTTGGTTTGTAATGCCTTTTGACCAAACAACTGGACGGACTATTGCACACGAATCAACATTTCACTGTCACATTGTCGAAATATCAGTGAAGTAGAAATGTTTCATTAAACAAATGACTCAAGATGCGTTAGATACTGATAATTTACCTACGATTTCTTAACTGTGGTTTCCTTATATCACTTAGCTATGGCTTTACCAACTGCTGCATACACAGACATGTCATGCAGTTTTACAACTCAGTTTAACAAGCACATATAATCCAACTAATAAGTGTATGAAAGTTTAGCTGAAAAGTGAATTCTTTTAATTGTATGAGTCGGACCAGCAGTTTTGGTGAATTATTTTGTATTCAGCAGTGCGTCTCAGCGAACTCTATCGCGAGTAAACAATATTTCATTACTTTTGTTCACTAAGTTGTTCACAGTATTGTTTTTTGTCTTGTTTACCACATTTCCTTTCAGATGGTGCTAATCGTTTGAGTGCATCCTCATCAAGTTCGAGCGATTCTGAGAGTACTTCGGACTCCAGTGAATCTGATTCTTCAGATTCCAAATCCTACAGTGAGTCCTGATGAATTACTACATTTGCAACTTATTCTCCAGTAAATCAATACTGCATTCTTTATTGTCATTCAATATTCCTTCTGTTTCTAAGCAACTTTTCTACAGTATGGTTTCATTTTGTAATTTCTTTCAATCCCTATTTATTCAACGTATACCATTCTTTGTTTTTAAAATTTCACATGCATCTCTTACTACCAGCCACTGTGTGCTAACATCAAGACAAGAACTTCACTTTGATGAACTGATTCCCTAAGGTTCCCAACAAAGCACCAAGAACTCCGTTGTCTGGTTTTGTTGCCTCAGTGGCTTTATTATTCTTTGTACATCAATTCTTGATTCCTTCTTATGAACCACTATGTCTCCAACACATGGCGTTGTTTTCACCAGAAATATGTACCTAATTCCTTTTTAATTGTTTGTGGTCCTGTGTATAAAAAAGATCATTTAATGCATTTTTGTACAGTTCTTAGCATGTAATTTTCATTTGATAAATTATCTGCTACTAAAGTGAAGGTCTTCTTGATGTTAGCACATGGGGTGGTAGTTTAAGTTCACTTGATTAGATTTTAAGGTCTGCCTTCTCGGTATTCTTGGTATAATTTCAGAGGCATCTTCGGATCATAAACAGGCGTATGACCAGGTAGTCACAAGTGGACTTCAAAACTGTTCAAGGTCTGCTACTTCTTTACCGTCAAATTCAAGTACTGTGACTGCTAAGACACCAGTTAATCAGCCATCGGCAATTTCTACACACGACACTGTTACAAGTGGTCATTGTAATGATGTTGGTTATTCGAAGACGTCCGTTGAACAAGTGACTGAACAAAATGAGTCATCAGACACAGAGTCTGAACCGAATTCTCCTCATCAGTTGCCTCAGCCTGTATGGTCAATTTCAGGTTTTTCTAAGAAGCCGTCTTCTGGTGACAGCACACAGAGTAGACCCGGAACTTCAAATAGTTGTGTTGTTACATCTGCATCTGAAGTGCCATCTTCTACAGTGGATACTTCAAGGCCTATGAATCTAGTACCGGAACCTATTGAGGCAGATGATCTTTCATTACCGAATTCACAGTCTGGTAAAAATGAAGAGAAAGAAAAACAAGCAGCCGCTCTTCAGATAATGCGTGAAGCTCGTAGGCAGTCACAGTGGAGTTCCCGGGCTGCTGAAGAGAGAGCTACTCGCGAACGTGAGGAGGCTGAGAGACGTCGACTTGAGGCAGAACTTGCTCTAGAAGCTGAAAGAAAAAGGGAGCAGGAGTTGCGACGCATTGAGGAAGAGAAGCGTCTACTCGTTGAAGCTCGAAAGCGTGAAGATATTGCAAAGCGTAAGGTTAGTGATACGTAATTTAGCTCTCATTTGCGCAATAGTTTATTGATCAACCTTGCTATATTTCCTGTAAGGACTTACCATGTATTTAAAATTGGAACAAAATAAAGCTAATAAGATTTGTAGTTGTAAAAGGATATATAGGTAGTTTATAGGTTTACTTATTTGTAACAGAGCATATTTGGTTTAGAGATGTTGATGTGATAGCAATGGAGGTTTGTGGTCTGACTGATTTCAACATAGAACTTTGCACCGATGTGCAGCAGTTCGAATCACCACACTTCACTTAGCACACAAAGCAAGAAAAGAAAGTAAATGCAAAGTAGAGACATGAAGCTAAAAGAATAGTAATATCGAAGAACAGTATAGTTTTATTGGGTATTATAAGTCACAAGGAATGGATGCATCTGCGCCGGCCATTGCGAACGATTTTGAGCCATATCACCAATTGTCTCCAGCCTTCATTGGTGTTTATCATCCCGAGGACCCTAACCAGGAAGTTTACACCTTCCTACATGGCTATCTTAAACTAACTGTTGTGGATTTCATTGACTAGTGCCATAGTTTGTTTCGACCGCCGCTAGCTCTATTCCAGCCTGACCCCAGCTAACATTACCCGTCGCGGAAGGCAATGGCTAGATATACGTAACACATGTCCTAACCATCTCAGTCGATGTGGTTTGTGGTGGCGCCCACATATTTCATGATGTCGAGTAATTCGCGTTCCTAGATCTGAAAATCTAGTGCTGACCAGTTACTATTGATTCCTCTCATATTTTATCTCAAAAACAGGTGTGTCTTCTAAAAGCCAGTTGTATTAGATGTTTGATCCAGTTGCCATACAATTATCATTAGTAGTAGTACTGCACAAGACGTGTGGACTTCACTTTGAAACGTTGGGAAATATTATAAAAGAGACAATTAACTGCTAAGTTCATTATTCCAAGCGGTCTCGAATAAGTTTCTCTGTATGTTTCCTCCTGATGAATTCAAAACTCTTAGTTAGTTATACTGACAATTCGTATATCTTAGTGAAGATTCCCATACATCTTCATGGTCGATGCTTTTTTGCGTAGCACTTATTTACTAGTGTTAATTGTGTTCGAATTTCCTACACAGACACAAATATTAACAACTTAAGATCTGAACCCTTCAAGTGAAGAATTCTCTACTGATTTTCTAGATAGGAGCGCATTGATTATTTTCATGCTTATTTACTCACTTGAATGATATTGCAATCTTTCGCCACCACACTATTCTTTTAAATAATATGGATTAAATGTTAGCAGACATTATTTATAGTTCATTATCCGATCCTAGTTGACTGCTAACAATTAAGTAATCGGTATCCTGCCCAATTATCATTAAATATTAATAGTAAGATACGAAATTATTTATCATAAGTATCCCATGTAATATAATTCAAAATTAAATAAACGACATAACTTTTAAGGAGTTTTTAAATTAAAATATCAAACTGTATTAGTGTTATTTCAATGTTTTAAAATTACTTCTTTTCACTTCCAACTTGTATAAATCAGGCAATGGTTGGTCCACCAGAACGTATAAACGCTCATGAATTATTAACTGAATTTGAGAATTCAGTTGACATATCCTGTATTGATGCATGCTTTGCAATGCGTCATTTTTAAATTCAACCAATATATATTTATTTATATATATATTTGCTATGAAAAATAATCAACTACAAACAATTTTTGAAAAATTCTTCATTTTTTAATGAAGTTGGAAATAATGTGATGTGAAAGGAAAAGAAAAGCAGTGCATACTGATTATTATTGAGTTTCTGTTGCAGCTGTACATATATATACATACATACTCTCTGTTTCTGATAAAACTTTTCATTTCTAATTATGAATATTGTGTGTTAACATTTTTTTGCCTTCTCGTAGACGACAATTGATTCATTCTTGCAGATTTTGTACATTCTTTTTCCCGAGGGAAAAATTACTAGTCAATAATTATATGATATTACATATATATATATATATATATATATATATATATATATATATGAGTGAATAAATTAATACATAGATATATGTGTTGTTATGATACAAATGTGATTTACTTGTTTGTATTTTCACGTGCTCGTTTACAAAATATTTATTCATCAGTTCAGTTGAGTAAGAAATAATAGCGTATTATTATTATTATTGTTGTCATCGTCGGTGTTTGCGTTTTTTCGTTCAACTAAATTCCATTGAGTTAGCAAGATCTATATATATTCTTTGGTTGGTCATCTTTATTTTTTAAAGTAAAAGATTACTGTTTAGAGTTTTACATTAGATTCTACACAAAATAAGTCAGAATGCCATCAAAAGTCTAATTTATCTAGGTCATTTTAGTCACTTACAAAGAACTTTTAAGTCAGTATTTTTTTGAGTAGTTAAAATATACAACAATATAGCATCATCTGTTTACCGGAAATCTTTAAGACTAACTGTTTTCAATGGTTGTTTATCGAATGTCTTAGTTTTGTCCATCATAGCCGACGAAATAAGTTTATTTGAAGAAATAATTAAGAGGAAATTAGTTGTGTTTTCTTTTTTAACTCAACAACCAATTGTAATTACATGCATTTGGAGCAGTGAACCACTCCCATTATAGGAGACCTAATGGTACTGGTTAGCTGCTAAGATGGTAGAGAGGGTTCTAACGCCTTACCAACTAGTTGGAAGTGCAGAGCCTAGATCAATAACCCAAAGGTTCATAACAGGTAGTTAATTTGTGGAATGCTGCAAATGTACTTAGTCATTCGAAGGAATTCATGCATAGTTGTGTACTCAATGTGTATAAACATACGTATGTTCACCGATTAGGTACAGTGTAGTTAATTTCAAATTTGATTTGTTGTTAAGATTCAAACTCCCCAGTCTTATGATTCTGTTGTCAAAAAGAAGCAGAATTGAAATAATCTTTAGCATAAATAGTCGAGAACCTTAAGGTCCTTGGTTACGCATGCAATTTTCGCTAAAATTAACTCCCTAGCAAAAGATATTGCTAGCAGTAAGTGTGGAAACGTTGGTTAGGGCGGGGGGTAATTACGGAGAGTTGTATTTGATAAAATCAGTAGGTGTTAGCACTCTTTGTTGCCTGCCATAAGCGTCTGTTAATGATTTTTCATGAATAGGTTAAGTCTAAGTGAAGTTCTATAAGTTGGATAACTGTGATATGGTGAATATTATTTACTCAGTCAGATTGTCATCTAAACTGTAAGTCTGTCATAGGCTTTAGAGGACTGGTTACTGTTGATATAATTCCTTATTCTTGAGTAACACTGATATGACCTGGGACATTTCTTGTTCATTGAATATTATAGTAATCCAAATATAGGCCTGTAAACTGTAGAATACTTTTAAAACCAAAGTGTCTTTGAGTCAGTGCTGTACATGCTGAATTAAGGTGAAATGTTATTAGATAACCACGTACATTCATTCATATGCACTTGTCAATAAGTAACATCTGTCGTGTTTAAAACGGATTATACGAATTGGCAATCCGATTCTCGTTATGTAGAGCATAATTCAAACATGGGTTCGTTAAAACCTAAGTACTTAAGGCGCTGATTCACAGTAACACACTTTCAGACTGTCTGTACCGTACTAATATGGAAATATGACAAATTTTGCTCCAGTTAACAAGATAGGGATTCTCAAATCATAAAATAAGTAAAGTCTTTATGGCAGTGAGAAAAGGCTATTTTTAGCCTAAGTGAAGATATTTCAGCAACAGATAACGTTATCGTATTATGTAAGAAATCACATTGGTGCTAGACTAAGATTTATCATGAAATTTTTCCACTGAAATTTACAATTTCTCAATGTTCCAGATTCATATCACCAAGTTTGTTTTGTTGATTGCTTACTCGTATTAGTTTCAACTGTTCATCAGTTAATTAATTCTGCCACTATTGTGGATTTCCATGAGAAGAGAAAAGTTGTGGTGTTTTCTTGGTGTTACCAAGATGTTTTTAGATATCTAGATCTTGTTTCTATAAATAGTTCACTAGACACAGACTCCAAACACACACACACACAGGTGCTTTGAAAAAACATAATTAATAACTAAGAAATACACTCGCCAAGTCATTATCAATTAAAAATTAATATGAAGATAATTAATGTGAATGATAACTGTCTTATTCAAACAGCGATTAAACAAGTCATACATATTTTATTGATGCGATCAATTGAGTTATTTATTGACGTAAATTAAATAAATATATTTCAGTATGAATGTGAAATCAACATGTGAGAAGGATAATGTATTTTGAAGAAGAATGAAGCAAAGGTATAATCAGTTCATTAATGTGGGATGAGTCACTGAATATAACAGATTGCTTATTGAGACCAGAAACTGTGCATATTTGATAAATGTATCTTGAAAAACTTTTATGACTGTCAGTTGTGTGGCGTAAATTTTGAAAAATAAGTGAAGGCATTCATATTCACTAATATTTACCCTTAACAGATTTCTCTTCCACTAGGCTATAAGTGACACTTATTATTGGAGTGGCTTGTTAAACTGTAGTAATAAAAATTACCATGGAATCAACTACTAGCTAACTATGTCCTCATTGAGATATGGGTGCTGCTCCTAATCGAGTCGTTCAATTTAAGGCACTGAGTCAAGTACTGTTATCGTGTCCCACGTTATGTTATTATGTACGGTTGTTCGTGCACTTGATCGCATCTAGCTCTAAATATTAATTACATATTAAGTGTTCAAATTATCTTTGCTAATTCCTTTTTACTAGACACTACGTAAATATCATCAGGTTAAGAGGCACATTGTAGTCACTTTGATGTCATTCCGCTTGTTATCAGTGTAGTGCTAGATGATTAATATCTAGGTTAAAAGATGTTAACCAGTTAAAGGCTTTATTTTAAAATAAGTTAAGACTTAGAAAAGGTCCCAACTGGCTCTCCTGGTAATTGCGTATATCTTGAAACTAATTATTATTCAGCATTAGTTATTGTTTGTAGACTACATTGCAAGCATTTATCATCCTTAAACTACGGGTTTATCAAGTTTATGGGGAAAGTGAACACAAAGGAATAGTAATCTTCATTATAATTTCTTTGATGTGGTGTGTGTAAAGTGAAGCACACTGTAACACTTACTGTTATCCTGCAGTTGGACTAAGCCCATCGGACTTGAGTCAAATGATTATATGCGGCAAGAAATTATCAGAAGTTTCCACAGTGAAATTTGACAGGAAAACATGTTAGATTCTCACTATATAAGTACTCAGACCATCAGTGAACTTTGTTGAAGCTTAGATAATTAAATTCTCTGTAATTTCATCTAAACTGATAACTGCTTTTCCCAGCAGTAATTCTTAATCATCGTCTAGGTATTTGGAAGTTATAAAGGCTTCGGAAGACGTGGTAATAAACGTACTTAGTCACACTAAATCTGTCCTTAATAAACATTTCTGATTTTATGACTAGCAGAAAGTTCTTTATTTTATCAAGGATGTACTTCTGATTCATGGTAAATCGACTATCACATAGATGATTCATTTCTAATGCAATAGTGGTTACGAGGATTACCAAAGGCTGTTTAGTAAGGCCCATTATAACCTTCAGCTAATAGGCCTGACATAGCAGTCGATGCAAGCGAATCTTAAATAGTTACATCCATCACTAGGAATACTGATAGCAAAACATGTATACACCTTTAGATATTGGTTTCAAGGGTTTCGCCGTAGTAGTCCATATAACTAAACTGTGCGAAGAATAATAACATTACAACCTGACTGATAGAATTCAGTCTGCACCAAAGAGAGGACTAGATGCATCACACTAGTTACTAGTGTCAAATCAAAAATAATCACTATTCAGAAAAGTAATTTTTAAACGGAATGGAGTCTTCATATAGTAAAAGCAGAGAAATTAGCCACATGAACTGAAGTTATTTGAAACGTTATCATATGCAGGGATAATGCACAAGTGATCGATAGAAATCAGTACTATTTTCTCTCAGAAAACAAAGTAGATTCGTTAATCCTATATTGATATTTCTTTGTTTAGTCAACGCGCTCTCTAAATCAGGTACAGTTTTAATTCTGATAGAATTACACATAGTTTTTCGTGAAGCGTAAGAAGGCAAAAGATGTGAGAAAGGAGAATGTTCCGGATGTGTCAAGATGACCTTAGTCAACTGCTCGTGCACATTTAAATTTCTACCAAAGACCATGACAGTTATTTGGGCTAAAGATACTTTGCATGTGCCTTCATGGTCCCAGGTAATACACTACAGTCCCTTATCAAAAGTACAGTGAAGAATAATGGAGAATATGTAGAATATATCGGAAAGAATGAACCTGAGTTTTGGTATATAGTTCCGATTTTCTTACGTAGAATAGCAAACGGGAGATTTCTAATTCGATGATACATGAGTCGGTCAATGAAGATAAGAGCAGTAATAAATACTGAAGCAAGGAACATTCGTTTTCTTTTCTACAACAGTCTCATCGAAATTTCAATAATCACAGGTGTGAAACAGTCTGGATAGTCATAAAGGTTATATTTTCAGATATTTACATAGGCCGGGAACAAAATATTGAGGTAGGAGGATAACAGCATCTAAAGTACCTTTCCTGCATTAATAAGAAAACTGCCTA